TGGGATACACATGGGTGTGGTGGTTAGGGTCAAAATTGATCGAAAAACGATCACATTGAGAGTGTAATTTTCGACCGGGTGAATCGAGTAATCGAGTTTGGATATTGGGTTAGGGCGTGTTTGGTAATTTTCTTTTTGATTTTCAGTATATTTTTTTTTTCGACTCTCTAGCTGCGTATTTTTTTGGGTCCCCTCTATAAACCAAAATCCGAAAGCTTTTTATAAGCCAAAACCTTCTAAAATCTCTCCTAAAATCAACCCATTCAAATTCAAATTTTAACTCGTTAAATCTTAATTTTGAGATTGGATTAGCTAAAAATAAGGAGATTCAAATTCAAAAAAAAAGATTAGTGGAAGATTTCGATAAATCTTCGACCGATTTTAGAGAGATTCAGTATTTTTTATATATTTTTTCCTTTTTTGTATTTTGTATTTTTTTTTCAAGGAACCCAAAATTGGGTTATGACAATGAGAATTTGGTTATGATGATTGATGTGTCAATGATGGTCGTGTTGATTTATATTAGATTGATGTTATCTATGTTGTCATGTCGCGTAATTTTATATCAATTCTTATAACTTGGTTACATAACCATTCTAAGTAAGCATTCATGAATTCATACGACTTACTGGTTCATTGCAATTGTATACGTATGCTTAGCTCATGAATAATGTTTTAAGTCATGAAAATATATTTTGTGCCATGGTTATCCAATAGCAATCGAATGATTTTAAAGGAAAAGATTTTCATGATTTTGAGGTTTTGAGGAAAGGACTTTATGGGTTTTCCATATAGCGATGGTAATGGTTCGTGGTCGAGCAAGTGCGGACGTGCACTTTTAGAGACTCGGTAGGGCGCATCCATGGACAGAGTTGGTTCACCGTAAATATGTTATGGAAACCTTGAAGTACCTAAATGGGACATGTCCAAAGACAGAAAAAGGATTTTCGATCGTTTATGAGATGTTTTATGACATAAGAAAAAAGATTTCTTACATATATATCGGTATTTTATACATACATCTACATGCACGCACACTACATGCATACGTTAACTTACCGAGCCGTAGCTCATATAGTTTCTTATGGTATAGATAAATAAGATATTATGGCTTACTTTTCTACGGAGTTGATTTCTAAGGAATGCACTAGACGTTATACCTTGGATGGGGCTTCATAATCTAGGTGGACATACTACATGCGATTTTATTTACGATACTAGCTATTGACTTATATGTTCTAGAATTAGTCGAACTATGTTATATTATATTAGAAGCAATGAACGAGTAAGTGTAGTACTTTAAAATAATGTAGTTAGAATCGAAACACCGATCGTAAAATGATAGTGTATTGATAGTAGTGTAGTTACTTTAAATTATCCATCGCATGCTAGTATCCTTGAATATTTAAGAGAATTTCTTAATTAATCGTTAAATAAAAAGAATAGTAAATATGAAAGAGAATAAGTAATATAATAATAATTGATAATAAGGAATTATATCTCAATGAATTATAATCGTTAGTAAAGAAAGGATTTGAACTAGCAAATAACCTCGAATCTAGTTCCAAGCACCCGAGTAAATAAATCAAATGCGAAAAATTTATAACGCCTTTTAAGTTAAAGTATAAGACCTACCCGACCAATATTAAATTTCTAAGGTATAGATTTCACTCTAGACATTAAGTCATAGTGCTTTGTTAGCTTACATTCATTGCACTTCGAATGTAGATTAACGACGATAATATTCTCAACCTTTTAAGTCCTAGGTTGGAGGTGTTACATTTATACTTGTAGTATTGTCTTTTTTGGTCATCGTCTTCTTTCGTATGCTGACGTAGTTATTTGAGGGTCTACCATCCAACTAAGAAAACTTATTTAACAAGTATTCCAATCATCATCATCGCTATTAACCAACAAAACCCTACCATTACGCCAGTTAGCCGCCTCATTCTCTAAGGTTTCACAATCTCATAATATATGTTTTAGAAAAATTATTACATCAAGCAAATTTACTTGGTTAAATGATGCTTAACCAAGGTTTTCGAACGTTCGAATTAAGATGGACTTAAACAGAGAATTTTTTGCATGAACACAGCAGAAATCCAAAGATTTTATTAAATTTTGAAGGCAAACTCAATTAAAACAATTCCTTCAGTCTTTAAATAAATATTTTCTGGCGTCAACTGCCACATTACCCTTCCTCCTTGCTCCACACACTATTTGTATAGCTGAATATATAATATTTTTCAATAAAATCTGTACCTACTCACGTATGGTTTCCCTGTCGAATTTGATAGAATAGTATTAAAATTGTATTCTTCATTGGACCAGATACTTATTATTCAGTCTTATTAGTCCAACAATTCTGTTTGCATTAACAGAATTCAGACATCATTGAAACATGCTGCCTTAATTGGCCGTCTATTAAGAAATTGATCAAAGATTTGCTTCTTTTGAGACCTTGAATTTGCTGGTTTGTCAAAATCAACCCACACGTGTTAGACCAATTTCTCTCACTATGACTAGCATGTGGAAAAAGGAATTCACTTCCATTTTTCAATCGTTTTTTTTTTTAACGATTTTTAACTCAACTGACATTAGTTTTCTTTTTCTTTTTATAAAATCAAGAATCTCGAGTTGAATTTTTTTTTATTGATAAAAAAACATTATTTTAACTATTGCATATATGTATATATATATATATATATATATATATATATATATATATATATTTTTAAATATGATTAATAAAAATTCTTTAACGTATAATTTTAGATATTTTAAAAATAAATTCTTAAAAATACTGATAAGAAAAATCAAATTCTTTAACTTAACTTACTAATCAATTCTTACTTGTCAATGAACTAGTGTGTCGGAGTCAAAGTATACATATCATATAGACTTACCTTCTTCTTTCCTCAATTTTATGTGTTCACATGCCTTTTTCTACTGTGGTTGTATTGATTAGCAACGACACTGGTCCTGACTTTTACTTATTTCAAGGCTTTTTGGGTCACCTTATAGTCAATTAATTATTCTATACGACAAAGATCTAGGAAATATCATATAGTACAACATCAAGTTATATCATGGTTTAGCTGGCTTAGAAAATAATCTAAAGTCGTTATTAATTTTAATTTATAAAATAACTAATTAGAACCGCCATTTTTGAACTTACATAGTCAACTGTCATTTATGTTTCCTATCTTTAAAAAATCTAAAGTTTGAATCTCGAATATATCTATTTATCAAATGTGTCTAGTTGTTAATTGGATTTTTCTGGGATCTTGTATTTTTTTGAATTTTTTTATTGACTGTTTTTTTTTTAATTTTGATTGAGATTTATTATTCTTCAATATTTTTTTTATTTTAGATTTTTTATTATAATGTCATTAATCGGTGATCAACTCATGATATTATAAAATAAAAAATTTTAAATAGTATGGATGTGATATTATAACATAAGATCTAAAGTAAAAAAAAAATCTCAAAAAACAGATGGTCTCAATCAAATTAAGAAAAAAAATAAAAATTTTCATTAAAATAATTCAGAAAGTACATGGTTTTTTTTTTTTTTTTTTTGTTAATTCTTGTTAAAAAAAATGTCACATAATTGATAGAAACCGGTTTAGATTCTAGCATACTTATGATCCCATTTAGAAGAAAAGGTCTCATATATTTTATCTCTTATATTCTTTTTTTTTTTTTCACATTCACAAAATATTCCTTTCAACTCAAAGAATTCAGATAATCCATCACATCTAAAAATAGAAAAGTTATATGACAAAAATCTCACGGACACAAACAGCATATAATCATTATTTGTTTCTATTATTTTCAAATGTATTCTAATATACTTTATATTAGCACCTCGTACCTAAAATCCTAATTCATGTCCTATTTGTAATGTCGTTTTGTACAATTTTCTGAATGTATAGATTTAAAAATGATAAATTAATCGCAATAATTTTATTGAAATGATATGAAATTAAAAAGCTAATCTAAAAGTTTGAAGATTTGACCGAAACCTTCTTTGTACCTAAAATGCCCTTAATTATTATTAAAAAAGATAATTAAATTTAAGAACTTAAAAAAATAGAGAAGAAATAAAAAAAATTAATGGACATAATTATTATTTTAGGAGATGAACAATATTAAATTCGGTATTTTATTTCGTTTGATTTTGTTTTTTTTTTTAATACCATTTCTATAATCTATTGATTTTTTTTTTAATTGAACCGTATTTTTAATAGTAATTAAAATCATTTTTTATACAAAATAGGATTGATTTTGTAGTATTTTCTTAAATATAGAGACCTTTTTCTTCTTCTTCTTCTTCTTTTTTTCCCATATTACAAAATTTTCAAGTATCTTTATAATTTCATGATAACGGTCTCCAAGGAGATTATTATAACTTACACTAAAAAAAAAAGAACTAAAAACAGAAATGTTGAAAAATGAAAGGGACGGAGACTTGAGTCTTTGGCTCTTGTGCCCTTTTACACGATGTTGGACCCATGACACAAAAAAGAAACTAGACAATTAAAGTTAACCAAATAGTCTATAGACTTACTTGAACAAGCCTGCGTCATTGATGCTTACGTTATTTTCTCACATAGGTACGAAGATTCAAAGGGTTAATTGTTGATAAATACGTACACATGAATCTACCTCATTTTTCCAACACATGGATTGATTTCAACAACTTCACTAGCAAGAACTAAGACCAAATTCTTGCTCTTCGTCTAAGATTAATGGCAGATAGCAGCCACCTACTCTAATTTGGTCATCTTTTCTTTTCCGGCTGCGTGAACAAAACGTACTCATCAACAAAAATTCCAACCTCTTAATTTATGCATGAGAAGAGATCAGTCTTCCACCTGTCTATAAACAAGGGCCTCTCCATCTCCTATTGCCTTTTCTAATAACACTCTTTCTCAATATTTTTTTATTTGAATTAGGTATCGAGCTAGGTTATATAATATTTAAGCTCGTAAACCATGGATGTTCGTTCCTCTTACAAAGAAAAGGTATGATTTCTTCTATACTTTCCTCCTCTTATATCTCTAGTTGTGTGCGAGTGTGCTTTTTCTTTTTCTATTTTTTTATGTACAAGTCAAGGATCATAGTTAATATTAGAAGCACCAAGAGTGGTACTATATGACAAGGAAAAAAGATAGCTTAAGTGTTGTGTTTAAGAGAGAGAGAGAGAGAGTGTGTGTGTGTGTGTGTATAGGGTTTCGTGTGCCTGAAAAATGAAGTTTGTGTGCATTGATTGCTTCTCAAGTTGTAGATCTTCTGTTACTGATCAGGTGGAAGCTCTTCGATCTAAGTTGGAACTTATGCGAAAAGAGAACGAAACCCTTAGATATATGCTTGAAGGTATGAGCAAGAACTTCAGCATTCTTCAAGCAAAACTTCGAGAAACCAAAGAAGATGAAATAAAGGCACGCAACTTAATGGAGGGTGATCAAGCATATCATGAAATCCTTGACTCTAACAAGAGAGCAAGACTAGAAGTTCCCATAGCCAAGCCATCACGAATCTTCGTGAGAAGTGCCGACCCAAAGGACAAGAGCCTAGTAAGCTAGACAGTACCTTAATCACTTTGATTTTCCCATTAAATTTGTGTTATCATTAGCTTATACTTTACAAATGTGAATTTAGATTGTGAAAGACGGATATCAATGGAGGAAATACGGCCAGAAGGTCACTAAAGATAACCCATCACCTAGAGCTTACTTCAGGTGTTCCATGGCTCCTAATTGCCCTGTCAAAAAGAAGGTATACTCAACTTTTCTGTTGAAAATCATGCAAAACACCAGTTTATAGAATACTGAAGTTTATGTCTAGAGAGCACTTTCAAAGGGCAAATTCAAGGTATAAATGTATCTAATGAAAAAAATATGTTGATGGCTGCAACCATGCGTGCACATACGATGGGCGATTTGGATGATCTCATATTAATTTCCAATTTAGATTATTTCCTGTTTCTAAGAAAACATAACTATGAACCCAATGGTTCCCATGTAATAGCACTAGTCTTACCACCGAAAATCATAGTTGGAAGGGTTAGAAGAGTGTCTTTAAGTCATTAGTTCAAGAGTTCAATTCTCATCTTGAAAAAGCTTCCCCTTCATCTATTTTGTGTAATACTGGACATAGACTGTCGTAGATTTAAAGAGTCTAACTTTTAAAATCGATCAAAAGCTAAACAGTCTACCTTTTAAAATCAATCAAAAGCTAAAAGTGATCTAACGCTAATCTAGTCTATAAAATTGAGGACTTAATCTCGATTGATGCGAAAACTGATTCTAAAATACCTAATTACTTATAAATATCAAAATAAATAAATAACACTAGTCTTTGATTTACTCTTGGTTTTCAGGTTCAAAGATGTGTAGAAGATCATTCAATAATTGTTGCAAATTATGAAGGAGAACACAACCACGAACCCAATGGTTCACTTGGGCAATATTCAAGTTCTCCAAAGAGCTCCTCATCAAAAAGCTCCATAGTTGATAATTATGTTCCTAACTGTCCAACTGAAGTTACTCCTTTTCAACCACCTGTAGCTCTTGATCTTACTCTTTCAAGTCCCAATAACCAACAGAAGGAAAACCCTTCTCCAAGGCTTATGGAAGACAGCAAGAAGATTAATAACTACAGCAAGAACAATATTATGGAAGAATATGTGGCATCTTTGACTAAAGATCCTGGCTTCTCAGTAGCTTTGGCTGCTGCTGTTGCACGGTCCATGAGTGACCCTATCTACACCAAGAATGCTATGAAATGATGATTGTCTCATTATTTATGAAATCCAATATAAGCTTTAGAGGACTTAATTGATCTACTTGGTTGCTGTTGTTTCTATCTTTTCCTTTCTTTTAAGGCTGCATTGTATTTGCTTCTGGTTCGTAGTGCCTATGAGTTATAAATCTATCTTTCCGCAAAAGAATTAGTGAAAGATAGGAAATTTTTAGCTCAAGATCAGAGAAATTCTGACATGGTATCAGGTCCAGATTCTAATTTTGATAATTGATTGCATAGCATAAAAAAAATGGATTTGGATCCTCTAAGAGACATGATCATGTTAAAGTTTAGGACGTCTTGCTGTCATTTTCATCATGGACTAAATCATGTTAAAGTTTAGAATTCAAGAAACATGATGAAACACGACAGAAAGGAACATAAAAAATCACAAAAAAGATCGATATGTTATTTCATGTTGCTGCCAGGAAGAGACCTAAAGTTCCACGAAAAGGCCAATCATGATTCATGATAGCTGGCTAATAATGATAGCTTCCAATTTCTAGGTAAGGGATTGAAAAATCCATCTAATGGGGTAGAAACAAACAAAAAGAAAATGCTCATTTTGATGCAAATGATAAGCCAAAGGAATAAAAACCTTTCGATGCTGAGGATATGGTCAAAGTAAAGATGATATTATACAATGACATACGTAGAAAGTTAAAGGTTACGTTTTGTGCCCCTAGGCCTTTTGCAGACAAAAATTCGTCAGCAAAGTTTCTTTTCCCAACGAGATGTCCAATTCGTCAAAAAAACCTTTCGTGGCAGCTGTAATCGCTGTTTAAGCGACGACGACAAAATTCAATCGGCAATATTTTTCCCGACGAAAGAGCTTCTTTTTAGAATTTTTGTCGTCAGAAATATGGTATTTTGTAGTGTGCATTGGATTTTTCAAAGAAAAAAATACCGAGGAATTTTTGTATGAGTGGATTGTGTAGCGAAAATAAGTTTTTTTTTGTTTTTTTTTCCATCTTTGTAGACAGTTTATCGATTCAGGATAAGGTATATACATATATAATTTTTTTTTTCCTAAATTTAAAACTCAGCAATTCATTCTTTTTCTGCAGACAAGTGGAGGGTTACCAATTTAGTAACTCTTTGTCGTAAGAACATAACTTATGTGCTATAATCTCAGAGTAACTTTCAAGGAAGATGATCCCGCTTTTTCGTGTCATATATCATTTGGCTGGACAAATAGATGGATAAAAGATTGAACAGCATCACAAAGTGCAGATTGGAACAGGTTAAGCAATAATTCATTTAATTGTAAACTAAATCGCCTCCTACATTTTTCTTTGAGAAATGAGGCTCTTGATGATTTATAGTATTTAACAATGACTACATAGACATTTACATCACTGTACATCAAAATGTACATAACCAAAAAGACTCCTGGCATTGCTAGCTACCGATAGGAGTTAAGGAAACCGAACTAAGAAAGATTTTTTACAACAAAATTCTAAGGTATCTTTATCTTCCGACTAGTCGACAGGGTCTGCGTAGACTGCCAACATCTCTGCTCCAAAAGCAATGAAACTTGGTAAACAATGGCACAAATGAACTATCAAGATGACACTGAATGAGCAACGCAAGTAAAGGACCCCAAAACAGAAGACCTGTAAGAAAGGATTACCACAAAAAATCGAGCATCTGTCCCTGCCATATACACTTGCATTTAAGTGCCTATTCTTGCTGCAAGGTAAAACACTTCTCTCCGGATTTGAACTCTAGCTTTGCCCTTTTAGCCAGTGCCTCAGAGTTGCTTGTAAGAGGCCTTTAACCATGGAGGCAACGATGTTATCTATATGAGAACAGGTCGTGGTTTGATTGGCAAAATATGGTGTATACAGTCATTTGATGTTCCCACTTTTGATAGGTGGTGTGTGTACCAAGTTAACAGACAGCTTTCTGGGAGAAGCCATCTTGGACTTTTCAATTTCCGCCTCCTTTTCTACTTTTTTCTTTTCCAATTCAAGTTGTTTTTCGTTTTCGTCGTGTGCTCGGACAAACATCCTCACAAAATTGAGCAGAGTCGACACAACTGCAGAATGAAGATAAAAAGTGAAAGGTCCCTGACTGTAAAAACAGAGATACAAGAGCTAATGATGATATTTAAGCATGACACAATCCTCATAACAATTTTAACCCCCAAAACTTAATCCTGCTTAAAATTTAAAACCCAAAATTTTTTCTTCAAAAAAATATCATAACCATACACATAGAGAAAACATGGATATGCACATTTATACATATGCAATTATGGTATAATGAAGAGTGTGTGTGTGTGTGTGTGTGTGTATTAATTTAGTAATTACTGAATACAGCTTTACTAATGGTAGCCCAAAAATTAAAATATTGCAGACTAACAATGACACATTCAAACTCCTAGAATACGAGAGAGACCTGTTTGAAATTGGAATCTGTGTAGGATATTGGAATCTATGTAGGATATCCATTTTAACGACGTTTCTAAATACTGGAAAATACCTTGCTCGAAAGGGCAACGTGCCGGATCTTCCCCAAAATAAAGAGTCAGTGCATCTGCATTTCTACCCTAAAACATTCAAATTCAAAACACAAAAAATCTCTGGCAATGAGTGTTCAAGTTCGAGCACAGAATTACTGTCCAAAAGCAGCTGGTCGAAACAAAAGTTCATATACATACCACACTGGAATAAAGGTAAGCCAAAGATCTCACTTCGCTTTCAGCAAAAGAAAGGAATTTCTTGAGAATCTGAACATTTCCAAGGAAAAGGATACATATTAATGAGTAAAATCTGCCACAGTAAAGGATATTATACACCAGTGTGCATGTGTGCCTGCATGCACGCCAATGGTGAATAATTCAATTAACTGCAGGTAATTCCTGCAACACCTGGGAAATGGTTATCCACAATGAACAGAGTAGCTGAAATGACTTGCCTTGCAAAAATTTTCTGAGACCAAACCATCATTCTCTGCAGCAGTCAATTCCTGCATCACTTTCTCAAGTCCTTTACTAACTGCTTGCATTTCCTCTGCCAAATATTTCAATTGTATCTGACAAAAAGAAAAAATGAACATGTAGCTTAGAAAGCAAACAATGAAAGAGAGTAATGGAAACTAAAAATTCAAAAAAAAAAAAAAAAACATGGAAAGGAAAAGGAATGGTACTTTTGTTGCAGCCTCCAAACTCACAAGATCCTTTGGAAAATCTAGCAGTTCTGGAAGCTTTTCAGCAAGCACCTACAACTCAGAAGCCAAACCCAAATAAATAGTTTTATCCGAAGTTTTGTTTTCCATTTCCTTGGTATCCTCTAACGTTCAATGTGCAGAATATAGGAAAATTCAGCAAAGAAGTTAACAATTGCAAATATATTTCTCAAAAAAAAAAAAAAAAGATTCACACTGTGAGGATTAGATTTCAAGATTCAGCATCACTAAGCGCATTTAAGCTAGCTCAGCAAGACAGGTTTTAGTGTAGGTATCCATTGTCATCAGACCACCTTAATAAAACGAATTATTCAATTATATTTCTGATTATATGTTTTTTCAGTCACTAGAACCTTATTACAAAGTAAAAGCCAAATCCAAGGATGTAGAGTGACAAACCCCTCATTTATTAAACATCCTAAGCCCATGTGAAACTTTCCTCTACTGTTCTGCACTAGATGTGATTTAATTCAGCATTAGGTGCAAGGACCATAAAATACACTCTTGAACAGTCCTAGACAGTGCAACTCCCATCTTTTCTCTTTCCCATTCACTAGATGTTTTACCTCCAACAACTGAAAGAAATGAACGGGGGAAGAAACTTTTAGCTAATAGACCAAGGGAGGGTAAAGGTGGGGGAATAGGTCTCGTTCAATTCCCGCAGCAATCAATTGCCCATGGTCTTGAAACATCCTCTTGGACAATCAATGGTCTTCATGTCTAAAATTAACTCACAAATATTGATGGTGATCAAACAAATAATAAATTCATGATTTAAACTGCAAGTCAGTTTAAAAGGAAAATATTCTACCTTACAAAGATAATGCATGAGAGTCATCTTGTTGTTTCGAGCTCGTGTATCAGTGAGTTTAAGGAGACTATCCAATCGAAATCCAACAGCAGAACCTAAAGCAATGAAAATATAAATTTACTGAAAGAAAAAATCCAGATCTAATGTAAGCAAATTGAGAGCATACAAGAGAAACACAAAAGAATAAGACAGGCGGAGAGATAAAATCCCAAAATCCTATGCTCAACCACATTATCTTGCAAGTCAAGGTTTAAGTATAACATTCCAAACTCAATGTAATTACAAAATTAGATTGCATCAGAGTGTCAGTTATAGTTCTCTGCCTGGTTATTTTTTTAGCTCTCATCACTTTCTGGGTAATAATATCCTAGATCAACTAGCTTATTAAATATGAACACATTGTAGTGTAAAAGGGATTTTACAGTAAAAGCTTGGGATTTTGCAATGAAAAAGGTTCAGAATCCTACAGTAAATGTTTGGATCTTACAGTAAAACACTTGAGATTATACAGGAGGAGGTTCTGGATTTACAAAAAATTCAGCATCTTATTTAAAACAAAAGATTAGGAATTGAAGAAGTAAGAAACATAAAAAACCACAAATGAAAAAAAGAGTCATCAGTAGTTATGTTCAAGCAAAAACAGATCCTCTAAATTAGATGTTTGTTTTTAACTCACACACCCAAAGCTCCTATCAAATCTAGTCTGCTAGGATTTGAACCTGTGACCTCTTGTTACAAGAGACCACTATCACTGGGCCACAAGCTCTCTAGTAAAGAAAATCATTATTGTACTGTTTAGGAACATGATATTATTATTATTATTATTTTAACTCACACCGAAAGCTCCTAGCAGAACTAGGATTTGATCCCATAACCTCTTGCAAGAGATCACTACCGTTGGACTACAAGCTCTTTGTTCTCTAAATTAGATTAATGGCTCTGTCTCTAACAAGCTATATGTTAAGAGTTTTCTACTATGGGCACAAACTAATGTGAAATACTGTTAGGTGTAATTTCATAGAATCTCGGATGGTTAAAACAACATGATACTAACCAATGGAGTTGCAACTCATTCACTTACCCCTTGCAGTACCAAAGTTGAGAGCATTACCCAGGGAAAGAATAGTTTGCATAATCCTTTTCAACTTCGCCGAGCTCCTGATCTGATAAAACACATGATTGGAAATGCTGTAAGAGATGAAAATCTTCAGAGCACTAACATTGCTGGAAGAAACTGGAGAAGTAAGAAGGTTTGACTTGCCTCTTCAGAAGCCGAATTTACAATATTCAAATTACCTCTGAGATCAGAAACCTGAAATAGGTACAAGACAAGGGTTGAATAGTTGCAAACAATGGTTTTTCTGCAGCAGGGGTCCCTATGTGCCAATGTTCCAGTCACATTGAACCCTATGGTTCAGAAAAGGGCAACTGGATCTTGAGATTTGAATTTTGGACATAGTTAGTCCCTCCATCCAATATTGTTACCGATTTCCATTAAATTTAACAATTGGCAGCTTAATTTGGTCGATGATCAAACTTGACCAAAATCTCAGCCAAGCATTGTGTGTCATCTTCCCTTAACCAATAATTTTGACATTAACAGAAATTTCTAACGAAATTGGAGGGAGGGACTAACTTCATCCCAATTCCAGAATTCAAGAATCCAATTGCCCTTTTGAAACCACAGGGTTCAATATGCCTGAATCATTGAACCATAGGGACCTCTAAAGCCAAAAAACCAACAAACAACAATGAAAGCATCAGAAAATCAGCATAGTAAACGAGATTGCCCTCTGACCTGGGATTGGAATTGTATCTTAAAAGAAAAAACTCTTAGCTTTGACTCTGCACGTGGCACTTTCATCATTTCTAAGAAAAACTATCATGAAAAATGCAAAAGGTGTTCAATTAGAATACAAGGCCAATACATGTATGGAGTTGATATTCTCAAACCACATTGCAGCTCATTTACATGATTAATTTCCAATGATATGCTACAAAAGTAGGAATGCAAAAGTTTACAAATGTCAATAAGTATTATTCATTGCCTGCTGGTTGATTAATAGATTGAAAGGAGTAAAGAGCAAGGAGAGAAGCATATAAGCCAACCTTTTCATTCATTTATAACAAGGGCATGGACTATAACAAGCTAGAAAATACAATAATGTGAATGATGAAGTTAATGTGGAAAACCAATAATTCACTCACCTGTTCACATTTTCCCAAGTTCTCTCTATCTCCATTATAACCCTGAGTGTAAGAAAATCTGATTTTAACTCAATGAACATGGCGACTAATAATTGGTGGCGATAGTTTAAAAATCTCAGCCTCTCACCATGGCATGAAGTAGTGGAGGATTTATGAGCAGAAAAAACTAATACCTTGAGTAATTCCATCTCCTCTTTTGTTGGACAAAACTTAATAAGGTTATCAACATGATCAACATCCAATGCTGTATCATCCAAAGCAAGAACTGAACTCTGTAAGACAGTTAGAGAAGCAAGGATGTAACAGAACCGACCAAAAAAATTAGTTAGAATCTCTGAAATGAATACAGCATGCATAGCAAACTTCAGCAGGAAAACTATGCCTTCATTCATTTGCATTCAAAACCAATTACACGTCATCATTTAGTACATTCATACCACAGCATGAAAGCTGGTATATGTGGAACTTCCAAAGGGATCACATAGGAATGCAAGGTAGATGGAATAACAAGGAAACTTAAGTTATCAATGGCCATCATGAAATCACTAATAAACATTCCTGCATTTATGGATGGGTACAGAAGCTTTGAACAAAACTTAATTATGAAAATCTTGTCAGCTTTGAAACTGTGGCCCATAATCAAAATTTTGTACAAACTAATTTTAACAAGTATTTTTTTCAAAAAAAATCAGTTCAAACAACTGCAACAAGGTTCAGCTTACCATCAGGTCTGAAAGAGGAATTTTAACCTTTGAAAGCATGATCTCACAATTATATGCCCTTCTAAGTTCAATCTGCAGAACCAGCAAACACCTTGTGAAGAAACAGATTTAAATGAGATGTTTTGCTAGATATTTACTACCATCCAGAATACAGTATACATAGCAAAAATTCATGATCAAGCACTGAAAATATGAGCTTGCAATAAAAACAGTTTGTTAATTAGAAGAGTGTTCTTGCACCGAAAATGAATTGTTCTGGTGAAAATTTCATATGAATCTCTTTCTTTAAAACACTATTAAAAGATAAAGTTGGACTACCAACACCAGCTGAACATTTCTGTTTGATAAAGTTTCGCAAAACCAATTATCCTAACCTAAATTGAAGATGACCAAAATCAATCAACTGGAAAAACCCAACCCCAATCCTACATGGCTGCACTAGAAAAGCAAGCCTCCTGGACCTGGATTTACTTTTTTTTATTTATTTATTCTTTTAAGGAACCTATAATTATATACAATTATTAGTAAAACTAAACACAATGGCACTGTGGACGCTTGTTAGCCAAAACTAAGTAAAGCTAAAATGGGTAGGTTGGTTGGGACAAATCTTGCCCCATTTGGCGAATATAAACATGGCATTAATAAGTGCAAATCACACAATAAATTGAACTAATCAGATGTTCCACTTCATGAAAGCACACTGATTACCAGCTGGATTTTGTCAGATTTATGTCCCAAAGTGCGCCGATTTGATTTCCCCTCTGTGCTCCCACGATCAGAATTTGGAGCAGCTGCTGAGAAAAGAGTTTCAAGTTCTGACATGTCAAACTCTGGAGCCCTAGTACAGACATAACGTTTAATAAGTGACAACATAGAGATACTACTAGAAGGCTTTTTTGAAGAGAACAATAAAAAAAAATGGTGCATACTTGGAAGCTTCATCAGCTTTTTGTGCCTCGGCCCACAAACTGCCCGACACGGCCCGAGTTAATTTTAACCAATGATAAGGCTTCAGGTTGGCTTTTCTGGGTTGATTTTTTGCATTTATATGGAACATGCCCCGCCCCTTTGCACTGAATGGAGCGCCGGGAGGTGGTCCAGGAACTGAAGGCACATTTCCATTACTAACTCCAGCATGAGACAGTGAGGAGACACTGCTAGTTCGTGACAATCCTTTAGCCAAAGGAGCAGGAGGAGGTGGCACAGGAGGAACATGTGCAGCATTATTAAATGAAGAAGCTTTTGCAGCAGAACTGAGAGGAGGTGGTGGTGGTGGTGGCACTGAAGGAGCATTAGAGGGGCGCGAGGCAGATAGAGGAGGAGGAGCTGGTGGTGGTGGCATTGAAGGAGCACTAGTGGGGCCCAAGGCAGATAGAGGAGGAGGAGGAGGTGGTGGCGGCACTGAAGGAGCACTATTGGGGCCCAAGGCAGATCCAGAATGTAGAGGAGGAGGTGGTGGCGGTGGTGGTGGTCCCGGTACAACAGCCAATTTCCTGACAGACTCTGAAGTAACTGAGCCAGCAACCATTGAAGCTATTCCAGGGGGCAGAGGAGGGGGAGCTGAATGCCAGTTCCTGTCAGCAGAAGATGGAGATGCTCCTGAAAAAGGAGGCGGAGGAGGGGGAGGGGGAGGGGGAGGGGGAGTTGAGAATGACTTCTTGATGGCAGGCGAGGATGCCCCCGAAAAAGAAGGGGCTGGAGGAGCTGAAGATGAACTCTTGGTAACAGGAGACGAGGCAGAAAAGGAAGAGAGAAGAGAAGAAGGAACCGATGGTGAGTGAATACTCCCTGATGTTGCTTGAGGATGTTGATTGAGTAAAGAATCTGTTTCTTTGGAAGTAGATTGAGGAGGAATAAGACAAGTACCAAAAGATTTTTTAGGTGCTTCAATTGATGATTGCAATTGGTTAGGAGGGCATGGTGGTATCTTTGAAGGAGACACATGATTGAGCGGTGCAGGTTTGGGTACATCTGTGACAAGAGAAGAAATTGAAATAGGCTGAGGAATAGTAAGAGGAGTAGGACATGTTGGAGAAGGCTTTTCTGTAGTTTTAGGAGGTCCAATTGAAGATTGCAATGAGGTAGGAGGTGGTGGTGTCCTCGGAGAAGAAACATTATTGAGTGGTGCAGGTTTAGTTACGCCTGTGATTGGAGATGAAATAGCTGAGGAAGGTAGAGATAATGTCACTGGACGCACAACTTCTTCACCTTTAGATGCAGCATGATCCTGCAACAAAGCTGTAATACCAAGGGCAGAGGGTGCGCTATGATATCTTGACACAGGCAATGGTGAGCCCTGCAAAGAATTGCTATAGGAAACTGGAGAAGAGAGCGATCTCTGAGGTACTCGCTGTGATACAATCTTAGATTGAGCTGGCCGTTGCGGACCAACCTGGAGCTCTTGTGGTTCAACATTCTTTTGAGTTGAATTTGCATCTGAAGATGGCCTACTAGAGGGCGAAGATTGGAGAGCAACCTTCAGTTCTTGGCGTTCTACCTTCTCCCTAGCTGAATATGCATCAGGAGATGATTTAATAGACGGCATAGATTGGTGGGCAACCTTTGGTTCTTGGGGTTCAGCCTCCTCTGTTACTGAGTTTGTATCTGAAAATGATTTAAAAGAAAGGATAGATTGTTTCAGCAGGGTAACGGAAGTGGGACTTGGAGTCTTGTTTTCTGATTCATTTCGTTTCAGTTTCTCTTGAACTTTAACTGGGGTCGATTCCATCCATACACTGCCTATTTCTGCACTCTGGGGAGAACTGTCCAAATTTTCAAGGGGTGCAATGATATGTTGGTGCGTATTGTGTACTACATCAGTTTTTGTACCTGACCAGTCCACATTGCTGAAGATCTCGTGAACTCTTGCAAATGCTTCCATAGGTAGGCCATCTTTCTCTTCTAAACCAGGCAAATCAATTGCAGCAATATAAGTAGCAGAATCCATCTCTGAGAAAAGTACCTTCATCCAGACCCAAAACGTTAATTACCTCTAGACATATTAAATTTCAAGAAATGAAAGATAACTAGATACCTCTGCTCTGAAGTCCTTGGGAAACTGATCCTTTGCATTCCAGAAGGTGTCAATTTCATCACGATTAAGCATCAAGATATTTGATCTTATAAAGGCCGTATTGAACATGACCCGAAACATCATATGTTCCCTTTCGTGATCACTGTCCAAGTTAAGACACTCTAGGACAACATCACCTTGGATATGACAATGGATGTCTATTTTAACTAATTCACAATCTGCCTGCCAAAATAAATGAAGAATTTGAAAGCATTCAATGACAGAATCTAGAAAGGGCATCTTATCTAAGTAACATAGAAAAGCATAAACAATTATAAGAAGATTTTTTTCCATTCTCGCAAGAAATACAATTAACTTTTCAAATCAAAATTTATAGAAATTGTCCAAATTGAAGAAACTTGAGCTACCTGCTTGTAATGCCGGACAAATCTGCTCCTTTTTGGTGTTGAGAACAGAACTTTAGGAGTCCTATCAGCAGCCATAAAAGGGTCCTGTCCATATATCCTAAATATTGGCCTGCAACCCCCCTCTGTATCCATACCAGGAATGACTCTCAGAATAATGCAATCCAACGTAAGTGCTCTATCCAGCGGAGGCCATTGTGTTCCCACATTCCTCCTTGATACATACTGTAGGTACCTTAATTGCGAAGGTAATGGATTAAGAGGGCAGATCAGCTGTAAAAGCTCTCGAGGCCCTTGCTTGTAAATCATGTCTAGAGTTCTCTGCTCACCCGTGAACTGCTTCCCATATAGCAATAATGCAGCGAGCATGAAAGCCAGAACTGGCCACCCACCTCGTTCGCAGTGCATCAAGACCACATTTTGTTGCCCAAGTGACAGCCAACTCTCACTCGACCGCAAGAAGTGATGAATCATCTCCATTGAGAGCAAGGGGCAACTTTCATAGTGTCGGGGATAGTCCATTACAGTCATGTCAAATTCAGACAATACACTAGCAATCTGGCTTTGGTTATCACCCTCTCGGAAATTAAAAACCATAAATGAAGCATCAGGCAAATGGTTACGAAGTTTACCCACTATGCCTCCTATGTACACTTTATATTCTTCATCTTCAAAGACATCCGTGTTATAACAGCAATCAAAGACTGAAACCCAATAACACGAACCATAATAAACATTTACAAAGACAAAAACATAATTAACATCAGTATTATCCACTATACCATTCTCAAAGATAGAAACTTTAAACCAAATACACATCAACTTCAATGCAAGTATTATAAAAAACTAAGACATAATGATAAATGGATGAAATACAAAACAAAAGAAAACCAGTAATCTTGAAACTGAAGTGAGCAAACTGTTGCTATTTACATAACATAATATCTGCTTTATCCAGAATGGTATTTCAAAAGATGGAGACTTTAAAACCAGTTAGCTGTCAGCAAGTAGTTTCAAATCACTAAAAATCAAACGGTAAATAAAACAAGATCAAAAAATAAATAAAACCCATGAATCTTCTTTAAACCTAAAGTTAAAGATAGAGACTTCAAAACCAATTAACCACAACCCCAATGCAAGTAATTCTAGAAACTAAAAATCAGTACAAACATAACTTCTAAATTACCCACAATAGCATCTCAAAAGATAGGGACTTTTAAGACCAATTACCTACCAACATCAATGCAAGTAATTCAAAACACAAAAGAAACAAAACCCATCAATCTTCAACCATAAAGCTTGCAAATTTATTCAAATTAGAAACGTACCGTAAACCCTTTCAGAGATCTCCAAAAGCCCATCAGGTGGTCTTCTATAGAAGAACTTTCTAAACAAAGCCATTTATTTTTTTTTTCCTTTGAAGATCCAGTAGAATCAGCTACAAACTTGAACCCACATTGCACCAAGAACAAAACTTTCCTCAAATAAGCTCAAGAAATCCCAATGAATGATTGCACAAAGCAGAGTAGTGTCTGTTGAGGAACCAGAGAAAGCATGAATTTTACTGGGTTTTTAAGAAACCCATTTTGTGGGTTGCTGTTATTTTTGTCTTACAATTCACACTTTGTCTCCTTCCGCCTTTGTATCAGAGAAAGATTGAAACTTTGCTTTCAATCAACAGACTTTGATAGTTAGAGAGAGAGAGAGAGAGAATATTCAGTTTCTTTTTTTAAAAAAAAAAAAAAAAGAGGGAGATACAGGGACAGAGATTTGGAAACTGTGGTTGTTGTTGTAAATAATGATTTCGTTAAGGCACAAAAAATGAGGATCCAAGGATCTGGAGCTTGTCTCTCTGTGTGCGTCTGTTGTTTTTGAGGTTCTGTTTTATGTCTGCATGTTGTTTGTGTTATTGCATGATGTTTTTTTTTTTTTTTTGGTTGGCGATAATGTTGCAATGTTTTTCCTTTTCTTTCTCAGGTGTGTGTAAAAAGAAAGATTAGACGTTAGAATTTTTTGTACTAATATTGCTCCGTGGCACGTGCTTTGCCATGAAGAAAGGCACGAACAAGAAATTTTGATTAATTAATGTTCAGTGATTAAGTTTTGATTAATTTAATGTGGGGTTTGCTAAGCATTTATGATTAGAAAAAATTAGATTAATGACATCACTAGTTCCAATTAAAGTTTGAGACTTAAATTCAATTTTTTGGATCTTACAAAAAATAAATCAATTTTTTTTTTTTGAAATGTGTGAAAACGCTTTCAAATACTTTCAAATACAGTCCATGTACATTGTTAAAAGTAAATTAAAACAAGATAATTAATAGAATATTACATGACACTAATTATCAAATGATTAATAGATAATGTTCATGGACAAGATAAAATAGTGCTCTCAAAGTTAGATAGCTCAAAAAAAAAAAAAATGGTTACACATTCAAGTTACTGTCTCTTTCACCAAATCATATGAAAATTGACATGAACATTCACAATATCATCCTTCTCCAGGGTTTAGAAAATATATATATATAGCAAATCTTATCTAAAAAATTCTTGTACTTTGAGCATGCTTATATTGAACATAGATATGTTAAAAAAAAAAATTCATGAAAAAAGGTAATAAGGTTTGAAACAAATAACAAAGCAATTAAATAAAAGGATCCTGTCCATATATCCTAAATTTAAAGGGTTGGTGCGCCAAAAATTCTAGTAGGAGAATTAAAATGATTGTAGCAAATAACTTTAGGGACCACATTGGTTATTTAACCGATTAAATACTTGTCTCACGGTTTAATTTTTTCATCCTCGTTCAATCCTCAGCATTGTTAATGAAAAAAAATATATCTTTGATTTGGATTTGCTTATATATATATATATATATATAATTGATCATGCTCCTTAATTTGTTGGCACAAAATATGGGAGGGATAAGGCTCGAGGAAGGACCGAATTCAGCTTTATTTGGTCCACCAAATACCTTTATCTAGGAATGAAAATGGATATTCATTTTATTCGGTTCAATAGATATCCATTAAAAATGTTCAATAGATATTAAAATAGGTAAAAATAAAAAAAACATACTTACTAGTATGATTTCGGGATATGGGTATCCACTCTTTATCTTATTAATACCTATTAATTTATTTAGATTTTTTTATTAACATGTACGGATCTAATTGCATAAAATTAAAAAAATAAGAATCAAAATATTTTTAAAAAAACTTTGAGGACTAAAAATCTTATAAATAAATTATCAAAATGCAAAATAATAATAATAATAATAATAATAACAACTTTATAAACAAATTTTAGGAACTAAAATGAATATTTTTGATAAATTAAATTTAGATGGTATTTAATGGGTATTAAATGAGCATGTAGATTAGTACATACCAGGTGTAGACTAGTATGGACCAGGTATTAATTAAGTAAATATTTATATGATGATTTTTTAATGGGTGATGGATAGGATATTCTTTTGATGGGTAGAGTAAAAAATTAAATTAATAGATGGGATAAACTACCATTGGTATCCCTACTTCTATCCCATATTTTGTTAAAGTACATAATTGAGCATTAATCACGCCTTCATCTCCCGGCCTTTTTGCTTTCACACTTCAGACATCTAAAAAGGTTTACCGTTTTCCAGTTTTCATAATAACATGATTAGAGGAATCGCGGAAGACATTAGATAACAGAAGTGGAAAAAAAAAAAAAAAAGGTTGCGTGAATGTTTTACAAGTAAAATCTACATTAGCCAGCATAGTTTTGACTTGCCATGTCTGGTTGGTGTTTGCTATTATTACAAGGGATGAAACATACATATATGTGTGCGTGGAAGATGTAATTTGGTATGCATTGAAAAATGGACTGAGCCTAATAATCATTAAAAGCACATTGTTAGAGAGAACAAAAAGAATGGTCAAAGTAATTATGAAGAGATAAGTAAGCTGTAAGCCAAGAATCTGAATAAGCTATAATCTTGTAGAACTGAACTGGTGTGATAGTTAAAAATTTGTAAATAAGCATATTTTTATTATAGACAGAAAGAATTATACTTGTTTCAATAAGTAGTTTTGAGTTCGAGCCTTATGTATTCATAAAATTTCATAGATAATTATGTTTGTTTTATGCGTTCGATTCGAACAACGAGTGATCGATCTAAATTTTTTGATTTAAGATATCTCGAGAATTGAAAAAAATTATGAATAAACAAACATATCGTGTATGACAATTAGTGATTAGTCTAAATCTTTAGATTCAATATATCTCGAGAATAAAAAAAAAAATGTATATAAGCAAGCATATCATGTGTGATTCCACTATTACAAGACACATGTAGTTTTATTTTTGAAATATGCTTATAAACATATATATATATATATATATATATATTGTTTATTATATGACTCCAATAGTTTTGAACTACATGACAAGAGGTAGTCTTTTTCTATTGTATTAATATAATTGAGAAAATTATATTCAATGATACTCCAATTTTGCTTCATTAAAAAAAATCATCATCAAATATATAATTGTTAAGATAAACCTATTTATATTCAAACTCCAAACTACATAACTAATAATAACATTGCTCCGATATAACATCAAATAACCTGGGAAGGTTTTCATTTCCATAATTACATATGATGCCAATAATTAGGATGTTGTCCTCAATCAATAAGACACAAGATATCATTCCACCTGTTGTAGGAGTTATCAGATGACAAGTTTGGAAAAAAAAAAAAAGACTCGTCACCTAGTACTATGATAATTAAAAAACCCAATGAACGTTCAAACATAAGCTGCATTGCATGCTATCCTATAAACGTTCATTTTTGTCTCATTTTATATCGAATTATGAATGTCTCATTTTTCCCAACATGTCTATGAACCATTCACTCTATACGAAATACATATGTATGCAAATGATGATCAAATAATTTAAGGAATCATAAACATGTATCTCGGATAAAAGAATAATATTTTATAAATATCATGTTTGTCAAATAAAATAAAAAATAAAGATCAAAATCTGTATGCACAAAGTTGTAGACAACTTAATAGACTAAGAACGTGCTTGAGGTCGTAGCCTAGTTGAACGAGAGCTTACCTCCTAAGGATCATCCGGGTTCGACTCTCTGTGTGCATGTTTGTCACCTTCACGATGCCTTACATCTCCATTAGGCTTACGAGTGTGTTCGAGTGGACTCTAAGAATTAGTTGATGCGCATAAATTGACCTGGACACCTTGGATTAAAAAAAAAAAAAATGCAGCTCAATAAAGTGTGGCTAGAGCATCCTTAAGCCAGCAAATCCATGCAAGCACGTCATATCATTGAAAAAATTAATATGATTAACAATAAATCAAATAATAGAACAACATCTTCTATCTATTTATTCATGATATGATTATCGATAGCCCACGTAGATCGAAGCATGAAAACTCGTTATTGGGAAAATAATGGCCTCAGAATTTGTAGCACAAAAAAGAAAAGAAACAAACAGATAGGAATTTTTTAAAATTTTTTGATGCAGGGGCGATGTCACGTACTCACATTCGGGTTACCATCTTTTTTTTTTTCTCTATAATTTTTTTTAATCATTGTTAAAATAATAATAATAATAAAAGCCACGGTAACTCATAAGAAAGGCTTAAAATTTTATGAAATGAGATAAATAAAATAAAATAATTCTTTTTGGAAAAAATATAAAAATAAAGGGTGAAAATTGAATTATGATACAATAAATTTTATAATAGTCAATGAGTAATTAGTATAAGTTATTCCATACAAAAAAAAAATTGAGCCAACGTGAAAATCATTTCATTATTTTTTATAAGTTCAGATATGATTTTTTTTATCTATATCTTTTTTTTAAAATAATTTATGAAGTAATTATCGTATAAACACACTAGTTATTTGTTCAGTATTATAGATTTTTTTCGACACTGTTCTTGAAAAAAAAAAAGAAAAGTAGTTGGGTAATGGGTAGACCGTAGACCCATGACCCATCCAATGATAGATGGGTTGATAGATGGGATGATATGCTTCTAAGCTAAAAATCCTAAGATGCCACAAAAAAACTCAAGAGGCCCATCCTACCCATCATTGCACATCTTACCAAAACTTTGCTTCTGCTCCAAAACAGTGAGTTTGCACTTTGCAGTGCCCAGGTGGAAAACTGGCAAATAAATTGGACTGCATCCTACCAAGCACTATTATTGCTGTTCTAATGTTATTATTACGTTTTTTTTTTCTCTTTTCCAAGATATAAAAAACAACTTCCAATTATGTAAATGTAATAAGTTTAGATTTTTCATCGACACAATTTTTTGCTTCAATTTTATCCATTAAGTTTTAAAAATTCTCAATTAAGTTTTTCCATTCGTATTTAATTATGAATTTTATCCAAATTGTATTTAAAAAAAAACGACTTTATTTTATTAAAAAAAATTGAATATTATTTGTAAAAGAAATCTAACAAAAAAAAAAAAAAACGAAATACCTAAATTGTGATATAAACAATTGATCGGTGATAAAATTACTATTGTTCGATAGTTGGACGATGCGTTTGATATTTTTTCAATGAGTTTTACTCGTACCAAGACCTCTTATAATTCAGATCTTTTTATTTAGATCTTAAATTTTTTTTCTATCCAATTTAGAAATTCTGCTATTATATTATTGTTGTTTCAAATCCTAATGTGTCACGTAAGCATACATAAACATACATGCTAAGTTCTAATAAATAACGAGCTATCACGTGTCATAATAGGCCTAAATTAGATTTTAACAAAAATAAAAAATTTTCATTGACTAGATCTTGTCACGTGTGTTTACTTAACATATCGAGTCTGAAATAATAAACTAAAAATAAAAATTTGGACAGAAAAAAAATTTAACATTTCAATAAAAAAAATTGAATTTTATAAAATTTGGCTATACGTGAAAACTTTTTTTCCAACTATCATTGTTTATCTTTGGATTCAAATCCAAGAAAATGGCAAGAAAAAGAAGCCTATTTAATATATGAGATGACCTCTTGAAAATTATATATTGCTGTTTTTTGAAAATTTAGAAAATTCTTAAAAATTCGGATCACTAATTATCAATGTTTCTCTCTCTCTCTCTGTCAATGAAATATTTAAAGATCATCGATGTCCCTCAGATTTGTAAAGTGCCAAAAAAAAAAAAAAACATAAAGGGCCCATGATTGGAGTTCTATCCTCATCACTGAAAAAACAAAGGAAAAAACATCATTAAGTACTCGTGACATGCAATAAATACGAGAATCTGAACATGTACTTTCTGGGGTAGAAAGTTGATTCATCGTTTTGGAGTAATTAATGGATGCTTCATGATTCTGCAGATACATTAATCCATGCCAATTGTCACCATTTAATGTACGTACGTTACCACAGACAACTAACGTAGCTGGATCGAGTTTTCAAATTTCAAAAAAAAAAAAAAAAAAAGGGATGAGTCTTCCAAGGAATCGAAAGACGAAAATCTTTTGAAACTTATATAATTTTATTTGGTGAAATCAATTGGTATTTTATGATAATTGACCTTGATTGAATACAGTTCAAAGTAAGCAAAGAATCATTGTTATCCAATCAGGTTTTTAAATGAATTAGACAAGCTATTGGTTCAATTAAATCTTAATCAATCAAATGATTCCATCAAAATCCGATTGGGTCGAAAAGAAATCGATATTTTTATTTTTTTATTAGAAAATAAAAAAATTAAACAGATGGATCAACTTGTAAATAAACAAAATGATTTTGACGATTTGATTACTTGATGAATCGAATTCTAAATTAGATTTGAAAATTATGCATAAAGTGAAATTATCCCAGTTTTCTTAGTGAAATAAATAGTATGTAAATAATCGAAATTATACGTTTTACCTTGAATTTAAAACAATAAACGTTATACATATTGAAAAATATTTTGTCATATATCTAAAAAGAAAGTTTAAAATGTTATTTCATAATAAGCTTATTCAAACATAGATATGTAATACATTTTCATAACCGACAACTATCAACGTAATTTAAGATGAAGTTACACTAAACATGTTAAAAAAAAAAAATTACCTCATTTTTCATTTTCATCGCAAAATAGATTGGATATGATGAACTTCTATAATCAAACCCTAGATTCAAAGCCTAGCCATATTCGATCTACAAGTGTTTCTTAAAAGATGATTATTGTTTTAGGAGTTATATGGAAAACTTAAATTACCATTTTAAACTTGATAAATAAAGAAAGAAATCTATTACGTCCTTCCATGAATTTAGGTGTTTGAGATAAATGATACACAAATGCTAATTTAAACCATATAAGTTAACCTAATCTCGTCAGCATAGCCGTTTATTTTCGTTTTTTATTGTGTCACTATCTTTCACAATAGAATAATTCTAATCTCTTCATTCGATTTCAAAAATCAAGATTAAAAATTATTAGGGCTGCTTTCAAATTCATCATAATTTATTTCATTATTGAAAAAAAAAAAAAAAGAAGAAGACAACATTTAAATTTTGCACAATGATGTCCCCATTTGCGCCATGAATCAATAAATCTCACAAACAAACAAAATTCCAAAGCATTATTATTTTTGAATAACTACAAAATCAATCCCAAACAATTCAATGGTTAACAAATAAGTCCCAATCTTAATTTTTTTTGGCTAGTTTCCACCATTTTTTCTTTTCGGTTGACACCTTACTCTCCTTAACTAAAAAAAAACAAAAAAAAAGAAGGAAAACACGAGAGGCACGAATCAAAATCAAAACTAATCGAGTTTCCTCCTAATGATCATACATTTGATTTTTCTATTTTTTGGATTAATGACTCATAATGAAGATAATGATTATTTTATGACCTAATGGAGTTGATTATGATTTTAAGCATTTATATGCTTCAAATGGGAAATACTTTACCACTTAAAGAATTTTTCTTTTTCTTTCTTTAATTGCATGGTTTGTATCCTATGAAGTATTTTAACGTATTTGATTTCTTTGGAAAAAATGTAATTTTGTTTTTATCTCTTAATATATTGAAATTTTTTTATTACGTTTAGAATTTTCATAATATCTTGTTATCTTGTTACTTAGTTTAAATAAAATAATATTAGAAAATCACAATTTTAATTCAAGTTCAAGTAATTACTAACCAATGGAATTATTTTTTTGTCATTCATTTCAATTCAATCATTTAACATATAGATTTTATTCCCACCAAATATAATTTTTTTACCCCTCAATCTACTAAGCATATGGACAGATAGACATAGACCGAATGACATACCGTTCGAACAATCTGATTCGATATTTTCGGATTTACGATGGTTGACTTAAATCAAAATTCATTAATTTTTTCAATATTGACCAATCAATAAACTATTTGCACACGTTATTGAAGATCGAGGACTGATTTGCACCTATCCCTTGGGTTTTATTTGCACTAATTTTCTAATTATTATTTACTAAAAATCCATGGTGTTATTAATTAGTTTCTTTATTTAGGTTTAAGGATTCAATGGACATGTTTGGCCCTCATAAATACAATCAATCGTAGAAACAGAGTAAAGAAGCAAAGCAGACAAACATAGCAAAACATTTAAAACTTTCCCTCCAAATTTTCCTCCGATCCAAACACACCTCCACTCTGTCCCTCGCATTTACTCTCCTTCCCAAAAACCCCTAACCCCTAATCGCCATTATGACTCATAAACAAGACTCCATTTTTAAATCTCCAAACTCTTCTTCTTATTCTTCTCCTTCTCCGTCTCTCCCTTTTAAATCTAAAAAAACCCACGACGATTCTCCACTTCCTCTTCGTATAGCCGATATCTTAACTTTCAACGGTGACTTTTTGGACGAATTGTTGATGATGGAAGAAGAGTTGGGGTGTAGAGTGTGGGAGAGGAGCACTCACTGTTACCCTCCTAACCGGACTGTTGCTCGGTGGTTCTCTGGTTTGAGGCGGAAGAGAGTGAAAGAGAGTAAAAGGGATAAATTGGGTGGTGATCGGATTGAGCAGGTTAAGTGCTCTAAGAATGGATTAAACAGCCAGGATTCGTCGAATTCGGCTTCCCAGTCTGCCCATTCAGGTAAATTTTGATTTGGTATAAAATTTTATGAATAGGAACGACAAAGAGCTAAAAAATTTATCTTTTTGCCTTTTTTGGTGTTTTCAGGAGTTTTTTTTCATAGTCTATTGAAATTATAAGAAATCCAGAAAAATTATGACAATTCAGAAAAAAAATATGATTAATTTGATCATAAGAAAAATTATGCGAAACCCAGTTAAAATCTTGTGCAATCGTAGATTATTTTGTTGCAACTTACTTTTTTCTTTGCAATTATAATGTTGCAGAGGAAAGTGTTGCGATGTACTTTGTTTCTTGTAATACAGGGAAGGTTTTTACATGTTAAATGCTGTTGTCTGGAAAAAATTGCAGGACACCATAATAAGGAGGCTTCTCTCAACCTTGGAGTTGGATGTTGTCTATTATATCTAATTGCAGCGAGCAAAAATGAACTTGATAAAATGTTCAAAATGCGAAAGGAAATGGAGAAGCTTCTTGAAAATGTGAGAGAGGAATTGCAAAAGAAAGACGGGCGCTCCAAGCCATGTGAGACAAATGATGTGTGTGCTTATTCCACCACAGATGTTGTAGATAGTGTGGATTTTGATAACCAACTTTCTCCACAAGTCTTCACGCCGTCATCTGTTTTGCCTGGGTCGTCAACAATTACGGTTTGTGATCAGTCTTTGAGATGTGAGACACCCAAGCAAGGAGAGTGTTCAGAAGGAAGGGACAAACTCGAGGCGGAACTTGAAGTTGAGCTTCAGAGATTGCAACTTAACTTCGATACAGTAGAGAACACGGCAAAACATCCACAGAAGAAAGGGAGACGGGTAAGCTGAATATTATGTGTTGCTTTCGTGGGTTGTTGTTTCATTTGCACCAATAAACATGTGTTGGTTTCCATTTTGTAGTTTTCATGTCTATGTTATCTATAGAAGTCTTTCATATAATATGAAGAATGAGTTTGTAAATTGTAACCAATCTTCACACTGGAATTTGTATTTTATAATTCATCCTTTTCATTTGAATTCCCTTGTCCATAAAGATTCATGGAAGTTTTATTGCCAATTAGGACTTACTTTTACTCTTTGACTTTTGCAAGATTTGTGTTCTCTGTTTATCTTCCTGCCATAATATTACATGTTCACAGTTACATCTACCGAGTAATGGAAATTTGTAAAGGCAGGTCACCAATGAGAAAACTGCTACTTCGAAAAGTCAGATCGTAAGTGCTGGAGAAGTAGTTGCTTTCGTATTTGAAAATCAAGCAGCAGGCTCTGAGGAGCACTGTGGTGTTCCTCCTCATGAGTTGGAGAGAAGGTTGCACGAATTACTGGAATCAAGGCAACAAGAACAGATAAGAGAGCTAGAAGCTGCATTAAAATGCGTTAAGCACAAGCTTCGGGAGAAAGAAATGGAGGTTTCTTGGTGGAAAGACAGCGCACGTCTTATTTCTCGGCACCTTCCAGAGTCTTCAGAGCTTAGTTCACATCACCATGCAAAACTTCTCAGTCCTTAACTTGAGCATCAAATGTACAACAGCTTTTTCAGAGTGGAGTGTTCATGAGCTCACGGAAGCCTGTCTTCTGTAATTGGTGTTTGATGATAAAACTGTTTTGCCTTTGGATTATACAGAGTCTGCCATGTATTGCACAAGGAGCAATGCTAACAAAGGAAGGATGAATTGCAATGGAAACTGCAAATTTCCATTTTGCTTTCTTGTAATAAGCATTATCAGTACAAGGTCTTTGTGTCCATGTACAAATGTTCGTTTACACATTGTGTTCATCAATTTGAATAGATTTATATATGAGTTTTGATGCCCAATAAATCATGATTCTTCTTTCCACTGTCATTTTTCGCACTAGATGCCACAGCTTGAACAATTTTTGTGTTTTCCAAGGCAGTGATAGTGTGCAACTTTGACCAGCCAAAACTTCAGGGTCTTGTGATCTAAGCCAACTTATTTAAATTAAGTAAAAGTCACAAGATTTAAAGGAAAAAAGATACAGTTCTTCCATTTTTCCAGTGAAAAAAGTTAAATTCACTAAATTGATTGTCGTTACACAATCAAAATATCAAATACAGTAAAGAAGAAAAAAGTTATGATGATCTTTCATTGAAAAATCCAAAAAACAAAAAAAGAAGCTATGATGATCAGTCTTATGGGTAGATAAAAATAACATTCTTCCATGACAACTAAAATTATTTGTAGTGTTTTAAATATCATGAAACAAGCATAGTTAGCTTCTCGATTTCCAAAACTTAATAGTCATCTGTGATATAAGCAACTGCATGAGCTAACCAAAACATCATTAGTTGCAATCTGAAGGAACAAAAGACAATTTAGAAGGGTAAAAGATCCCTTCATAAGCTTTTAGAAGGGAATCTTGTTGCCACGTTCTTCCTCAGGTTGTTTCTCGAAATGAAGGGGTGGTGAATCATGTGGACTCGGAAATTGAAACGGAACTGCAGAGATAATTGATTGGAGAACAGGTTTCTCGATTTCCAAGAGCATCCTCCATGAAGTGGGTACTTTTGGTGGAAATCGTTAATAGATTTAGAAGTTGAGGATTGGGGTATCGGTTTGGGACTGAGTTGATAAAAATATAGTTTGGGTACTTGATTGATAGTTAGTGTGTACGTTGAGGACTAATGTGATGTTACGTTTTTGCGACTGTCTAGGCACTGACAGTTTCAGTTTTATGTTCTTTTCTTTCCACTTAAGTTTGAAACCCAAAAAAAAACCTTAAAACCCACAACGCTCGAAGCTTTTCCTGTCCTGTTTACGTTCTGTTTGGTTGCTGAGAAAATTCATAAAGATAAAACACACAAGAGGTAAGTGACCCAATTTGCCAATGCTTAGAAGCTGCATTTTTATTACAGCTATTCTGTTGAATTATCCAGAAAAAAGGGCCTTCGTCAACTAAAAATCGTTGACTGTTTTTGTTCATAAATGCGTTGATTTCTTTCTATATTTCCTTTTTGTCCGATTTTGACATAAGGGTATATTTTTGTGGTTGTGGTCACACATCTATTGTTTCTGATGTTTCCTTTTAGACCCCAATTCAAGACTTCCAAAGAACGAACCTTTCACTTTTATTAAAAAAAAAATGGCTTTTTTTTCTGTGCTGATTCTTGTTTTTATGTCTTTGAATAGATATACTAATAATTTGGCAATGGCTGAAGGAAGTTCTGGGTCTGACTTTACACTTGATTCAATAAGAAAGGCTTTGATAAGACAAGAGGATACCATTGTTTTTAGTTTGATAGAGAGAGCAAAGTTTCCTATGAATTCTGCTTTGTATAATCAGATTTTGAATTTGGTTCCTGGGTTTTCTGGTCCTTTGGTGGATTTCATTGCTAAGGAGACAGAGGCAGTTCAAGCTAAGGTGAGTGCGGTGTATGTTTAATCTTGGTTTCTTCTTGTTTTCTTAGAATGCTTGTTTTGTTGTGTGACGTTTCTTTCAACTAAAAAAAGATGGTCAATTTCGTTTCTTTGTTGTCAAGATCTGTGTTTGGTGTCTCTTGAAGTTGTCTAAGCAAGTGAGGTATATTGAATTTGTTTATTTAAGCAACTGGTCATAGATTTCAAAATGTTAGATTCTGATACTAGAACAAATAGACTGCTGTTGACTGATAATTGAACATGTAATCAAAATTATGGTTGAAATGTCAAGGCCAAGATATATGAGATAATGCTTCCTTAGGGTCAATATAGTTTCTTTGTTGCCTTTAAGTTGTCCTAAGAGGAGATTACAAAATGTTAGGTTCTGATAATAGAACAAATAGACTGCGGCTGAATGATAATTGAGCATGTAATCAAAATCATGGTCGGCAATGTCAAGACCAAGATATACGAGATGATGTTTCCTTAGTAGCTCTATGTGATCAGCTCAGATAAGGTAATAGATACTCACCGAAGATGCAAAATTAGAGTGAATCAAAACTGTGGCAATGAAATACTGGGTTCATGTGCATATTTCAGTTTGTTCTAGTTTTGCTGTCTTTTTGTCGGTTTGTGTTTGAGATGCACCAACTCTCACATCTCCAAATTATTAATCCCAAATGATGCATGTAAGAGAACCATGGCGATTGATGCGCTTAATAGAATTGTGGCAATGGATTAAATTGGAATTGTTTGGTTCTGGTTATGTTACAGGCTGGGAGGTATGTGAATCCAGAAGAAAATCCCTTCTTCCCGGATAATTTACCACCCTCATTGGTTCCAAAGCACAACTATTCTCAGGTAATTGCTTGAGCGAACTTTGTTATTTACCTTAATGTATTGAATCATGGAGTTAAAGACAATTTTTTATCTGTTTATCTAATCCTGAAGGTGCTTCTTTTATAGGTTTTGCATCCTGGAGCCGCTTCTGTTAGTGTAAACAAGGCTATATGGAATATGTACCTGAACCAACTACTTCCATTGTTTATTGATGCTGGTGATGATGGTAACTATGCATCGACTGCTGCTAGTGATCTTAGCTGCTTACAGGTAAAGGTGCTTGTAAATTGGGTTGCCATACTGTGTTTACACATTGGAGATTAGGATGATCCTTCAGCTAAACCTTGGCTTGTATCGACTATGAAAACTCTTAACTACTTCCTCCAGGCCCTCTCTAGGAGAATCCATTACGGAAAGTTTGTGGCTGAGATTAAATTCAGGGATGCTCCACATGACTATGAACCTCTAATTCGTGCCAAGGTATAGTTGCTAAGCACCACTTAATGTAAAGTTGGCTAGATTAATTGTTGTTCTATGATCATGGACTCGTGCAAAAGTGGTCTACGAACTTGGTGATCCAATTCATTTGTGTTAGCAGTTGCTGTTTTGTATCTCTTGATTATTTAGGGGATGGGGATGGTTGACTGAAGGATGAAAAAATGTGATCCCCAACAAATGTTTGAAAGAGGGAGAGCTGTTTTAGTAAAAACTAAAGCTTCTATGCTCAAAATTTATTTCCACAGTCTTCATGTACTAATATCGTCGCGATGGTTGCTTCGAAGACCATGCTGTATGCAGTGTATCCACTAGGCATGTGAATCTTAAATTTACACTGCAATTCCATAATAGTCAAAATTATTTAGAGTAGCAGAAATCTGCAAGCTCTGAAACCATAATTAATTGAGAATCCATGGTTATTCCGTCCAATTGTGAATGCTGGAGTCTGCTTTTTCCTGGTTTACAATTTCTTGCTATATATATATATAATTCTATTACGACTAATTATGAAAATTTCCTGACCAACCCCAGAAATATATATATATATATTTCCACTAACCGGCTAATGCGTTGGTTCTCTCAGGACACAGATGCTCTGATGAAGTTGTTGACAGATGAGAGAGTAGAGGAGATGGTTAAGAAGAGGGTTGAGAAAAAGGCAATTATTTTTGGACAAGATGTGAGCCTCAGCAACAATGTTGAGACTGGAAATTTCAAGGTTGATCCTTCTGTAGTAGTTCGCCTCTATGACGAATGGGTAATCCCTCTCACCAAGCTCGTTGAAGTTAAGTATCTCCTCCGCCGATTGGATTGAAACCTTTGCATCTCTATTAACGTGATAGTCAAACTCAACATATTAGATTCCAAAAATGGAGGGCATTCATAATAATTCTTGATGAATGATCATTTTGGCCAAGCCTATAGGCATGCAGAAGATTATTGTCCTCCATTGAACTCTTGAAGAGATGTTTTGCATCTTTATTCAAATCTTGGTTCACATGTTGAAGTTATCTGTGCATGTGTATATGATCAAATCCATGAATAAAGCATCACTTGAGCAACAATTGTGCAGTTCAATTTATGGCTTCTGTAAAGATAGATTAATTAAATCCATGAAACAAGAAATGAGTTTGTTTTCAGGGGGAAATTCTTTTAAAACTTCAAAACTCATTTTAATGAACACAATACACATAAAATTCAAATTAAAAAAAAACTCAAAATATTTTGGTTTTCGATCCACCTTCTCTTACCATTTCATGATTTGTCATCACCACAAATGAATTTTACTCTTCAAGACGAATAAATTGATGGTAAGCTTGACAGTTGGGATGGCCAGAACGGGCCTCGTCGGTTCTCTCTCTCCTCTCCCTTCAATCTCCTTTGTTTCTCTCTCCTCGTAGCACACATGGACCAAAACGAATGAAAAATAAAGTTTCGGATCGAAAAAAATATTAAAAAAAGAGTGACCAAAATACATATTTTGGACCAATAATGTATGTGCAAAGTGAATGAATAATAGTTTTAGAGACAATGAAAAATAATGAATAGGAAAAAGCAGAGGCGATGAATCCACATTAATTGATCAATGTTTTTGGGTTTAGTATATTGAGTAATGTTCTTAGTAAAGGTTTTTTTTTCTGTAAGAAGATTAAAAGTAGTGCACATTATAAATTAGTCTCTTTATTTTAGAGAAACAAATTAATTTCTCCCTAACATTTGAAAAATAATTAATTAGTTTTTTAGCAGTGTGATTATACTTAATTTAATATTATTTTGTTTTATAAAATGTCTTCTTTTTATCATCAATTCTTCCATAATTTTACTTATTTTTTCTATTTCTTAAAAAAAACAAAATAAATAAAAAATAGCAAAGATGATTAAATTACAAGAAATTTAAAAATATAAGATGTAAATAATTTTTTGAAACAAAAAGGATCAATTATTCGTTTCTCAAAACTACAGGAGCTAATTTGTAATTTACTCCTAAAAAAAAGGGCTTTTGGATTTCTATTCAATGTGAGATGAAAAAACGAAAAGAAAAACCGTATGCTGCCCTCTTCTAAATTGCTTAGTGCATCAAAATGTATCATCCTCCCCCAGCTGTCGCATCCATTCCATGTCCTCTTCGTAAATTATAAATTAGTCCCTCTAGTTTTAAAAAACAAATTAATTTGTCTTTTTTGTTTTAAAAACTATATTTAATCTTTAATTCAGTATTGAATATGTTTAATTTATTATTTTTATTTCATAAAATCTCTTATTTTTTCATGAATCTTTCCATATTTTTTTCCTTTTTCTATTTCTTGAAATAAAAAAAATCAAAATAAATTGAAAAGGAGAAAAAAAGACTAAATTACAAGTAGATTTCAAAATATAGAGACTAATTTTTAAAACTAGAAGGACTAATCAATCTGTTTTTTAAAATGAGAGGGACTAATTTATAATTTACTCTCCATTTGGTTTGTGTTCATGTTTTCCAGAAATGCAAGAATGTGGCTAGCAAGCACGATTCAGCGCGCAGTTCCTTATGGCCCAAGTTATTGTAACTTACGGTTTTGCAGGTTTCATCCAAGATAAGATTGAAAATTTGAAACCAAGATTAGATGAATTCTCATGTTGGTGTATCTGCTGGTTGTCTTCATGTCATGGAAGTTGGTAGCTTGTACGATTGTGGACAGGGAAATTGAAGTTTTGGTTCCAAATTTTTTGTTTGTGGTCCATGAATGGTGCCTGCAGATCTTAAGTCAAGCTCTAGTAGGCCAAGAAACACTTAAAAGAACCAATTTGAAGTTGAGGTTTTGCAGAACCTCCCATTGTACAATTCATCTGTTACATTTTACTTGTTCTCTACCATGGCACTGAATTCTCCTAAAGCTAGCCAGAGTGATGGACTAATGGTAGCCATTAAAAGAAATACTAACAAAAGCCAAGACGATCAGTTCCTATTTCTCATATACAATTTGGAAGAGGGGTGATCTTTACTGGGATTTAATGCTCAAGACTACCAAGTACCAACACTTATTCAGGCTTTAACGTAGGTTGTGGCATCAAGCCCATTGTCCTGCATTTGCTCCAAAAAAATTGGAACTTGTAAAAATAAAAAAATTGAACGAACGTGAAAATCTTTTTATCACTTTTAGTGAGTCCGAATGTAATTCACCTGATCTATTTCTTTCTTTATAATAAATCCATAAAATAACTATCGTACATTACTTCTTATGTATTATAAAATTTCTCGTCACTTACAAACACTTTGCAGCAACAGTCACATCTCATGCAAGCATGTCCACCTTATGTCATTTTCATTTTCAGTTTTTAGTTACTTGGGATCATAGCTATAATTATCCCTTATTTGATCTAAGAGATAGCCTAATGATCAATTAAAAATTAAAATATTCCGACGTTGTTTTAGTTTAGATAATGATCGATTTAGTTGCAATTTATGTAAAAATCAATCATAAAATAACTCTATATATATATATATATGGGTAATTTAACAAAACAATAAAAAAAAATCTATTGGTACACTAAACTTCCACTCTTCCCCCAACCAAGGACTAGGCCAACCAAGGCAAAGGTTCTCATCATCAGAAGGGTACATACGTCTTTCACGAAATCTGACTCTTTCCTACGGAATCCGTACTCTAAAACTATTGGTACCTTTCTCTCCAAATGACAATATTGCCCCTACAGGAAACCAAACACACCTTACTGGGCAAAACCCCCCAACGCAATTTCAAAGGGAATCACTTTTCTCTGTGAACTCACTGACTGAGAGCTTTGTATGATCATAAACCAAAAACCCTTAAAAAATTTTAACACTGGCATTGTGTAAAAGAGGGATTTTCACTCACTTCAAGGCCAAACTTTGATCAAGAAAAGGGAGCTTCTAGGGTTTAATGTAAGTTTTCTCTGTTTATTGGTAATGCCTTTCGTTTCCCATTTTGGGTTTATTTTGTTAGAACTGGTCACAGTTTGTAGCTTCTTGGGGTTTTGTTTTGTCTGTTGCTAAGGAAAGGTGATTTATCTCCCCCCCCCCCCCCCACCACCACATTTTAGTGGAAATCCAGTGGTTTTATGACAGTTTTGTTGTGTTAGAGAAAAACCCAGATGGCTAAGATTGTTTTTTAGACTACCTTTTGTGTTTTTGTTATTGTTAGAAGAGAAAAAGTAACGCGAGAGACTAAAAAATTTGCGCTTTTTCTTGCATGTATGTGATAACATGGTTATATTGTAGAATATGTATTTCTAGAGTAAAATGTTGATGCTGCTTGAGGACTTGGGCTTGATGGCTTGTTGGGTTTTGATGCTTACGGTGTTCTGAGGACATTCTCAATATAAGCAGGAAATGGCTCTCATATCTGTTGTTTAATGAGCCTTGAATTGACTGAAGTGTTCTATGCTGCTTCCATTTCCATTAGGGTTAAATTATCATATTTTTTGTTGCAGCTATATCATTGACGTTTCTGTCGTAATTTCTTCCCAGATTTTGAATTAGATGGGTGCATCATCAGATTACTTGGAGGAGGCGGGTCCGAGTAGTAAGGGTGGAATTGATGATATGGATATGGATATAGATATAGATGAGGATTTGATGGACTCAACTAACTTACATAACTTGGGGAAAGAAACTTTGCAAAGTTTCTGTAGGAAGGCGGCATCTTTGTTTTTTGATGAGTATGGTCTCATCAGTCATCAAATCAACTCATATAATGCCTTCATTGATAGTGGACTCCAGAGGGCCTTTGATTCTTTTGGTGAGGTTGCTGTTGAGCCTGGATATGACACATCTAAGCAGAGAGATGGTGAATGGAAACGTGCATCAGTTAAGTTTGGAAGGGTCACCCTCAATCGACCAAGTTTTTGGGGTGGTTCAAGTGACACCGAGCATAATATGTTTCCCAGGCATGCCAGACTTCAGAATATGACATATTCTGCAAGAATGAAAGTTCATGTTGATGTTCAGGTAAATAATTTATCTTAGAGTTCTGGTGTCTAATTTTTTAATTTGATTGCGTTTTGACCTGATACCATCTTTATTATGTTTAATAGGGTAATTCTTGATACTGCAATGTCTAAATCTTAATCACATTTCAAAAATCTTGTGCTGTTGGACAAGTGGCTTGATGTAGTTATTACCGTTTTAAGCTTCATTATCGTTATAACAGTCATGTAGTTGACTTGAACTTGCCTATGATGCCGATGGTCCGAAGTTTCTCTAGTGCAGTGATGGTAGCCCATTTTTGACAGACAGGACCAATGGCTTGAAGATTCAAGTGTGTTCTGCTTTCAATTAATTCAGTTTTTTTTTTTTTTTTTTTTGAGTCTTTATTTGGTTGTCTTGTTTCTTTTTGGATACATCAATTGACTTTTTACTATGTGGACTATTTTTAACATGAGAAGAAACACTACTGCATGGTCATCTATGCATATGCACCTTAGCCTTTCCTTCTGTGTCAATTCTCTAAGGAAAGGTTGTTTCAGCTTAAACGACGAATGATGCCATAAATTTGGGGTACTTTCTCTGCCTTTTAAAGTTTTTTAATCTCTTTTTTTTTTCTGCAAATATATCAGGTATACACACAAAATGTTGTTAGAAGTGACAAGTTCAAAACTGGGATAGACAAAGTTGTTCAAAAGAATGTTATACACACTGAAAACAGGGAAATCATTATTGGAAGGATCCCTGTTATGGTGAAGTCTAACCTTTGCTGGCTGACAACAGCTGAAAAGGGGGATTGTGATTTTGATCATGGAGGTTATTTTTTGATCAAAGGTGCAGAGAAGGTGTGTTTGAAGTTTCCGTTTAGTTTTCTTTTTTCTCTATATGTTTTGTTCTTAATCACTTCTCTAAGCTTGTATTTGCTGTAATTGAACATATGTTGTAGTTGCTATTGAATGTTTGTTTCATTTGATTATTAACTGCAACCAGGACCAATTTATTCGCTCCTTTTCAGTTGTGAAGGTTGTAATGCAAAACGGCAGGTCTTTAGGAGAAAAATTTGTCCCATTTTTGCTGTTTTGATGTTAATTCTTTTTCTCTCATGAGGTTGGAAAGCAAGCCTTGGTACCAGGACTTGCTATATCATTGTATAGGTTTTCTGGTTTTTTTCATTTGCACACGCCCTCTCTCTCTCTCTCTCCCCCTGTGAAATCTCTTGAATGTGCTCCTTTTGTTGATTATATAATTTATTTTACCAAAATATTTATAGTATTTGTTTCAAATTTATTGCAGGTGTTCGTTGCACAAGAGCAAATTTGTATGAGAAGACTTTGGATTTCAAATAGTCAGGGCTGGACTGTTTCATACAAATCTGAAGTTAAGAGGAATAGGTTGATTGTTAGACTAGTGGAGCTTTCTAAATTAGAATACATTAAAGGAGAAAAGAAAGGCCTCTGTGTATACTTCTTATCAATCGAGATCCCTGTATGGATATTGTTTTTTGCCCTTGGAGTAAGGTCAGACAAAGAAGTGATAGATTTTATTGATTATGATAGCAATGATGCCAGCATTGTGAATATATTCTTTGCCTCAATTCATGATGCTGATGAGAAATGCGAGCATTTTCGTAGGGAGGACAAAGCACTTGCTTATGTGGATACACTGTTAAAAAAGACCAGATTTCCGCCAAAAGAATCTATTGAGGAATGCATTAATACATATCTGTTTCCCAGCCTTAATAGTCACAGGCATAAGGCTCGCTTTCTTGGGTATATGGTGAAGTGTCTTTTAGAGGCCTATACTGGCCACAGGAAATGTGACAACAGGGATAGTTTTAGAAACAAGAGGCTTGAGTTGGCTGGTGAGTTGCTTGAACGAGAGCTAAAACTTCACATTGGACATGCACTGAGGCGCATGACTAAGGCATTGCAGAGAGACCTCTATGGAGACCGTGAGGTGCGCCCAATTGAACACTATTTGGATGCTTCCATAGTGACCAATGGCTTGACGAGAGCATTCTCAACTGGAGCATGGTGTCATCCTTTCAAGTGGATGGAAAGGGTTTCTGGAGTTGTGGCAAATCTTGGGCGTGCAAATCCTTTGCAAACGATGATAGATTTGCGGAAAACAAGGCAGCAGGTTCTGTACACAGGAAAGGTTGGAGATGCAAGATACCCGTAAGTTATTCATATTTTAAGAATTCATTCTTAGTTTCTGTGCATTGTGTCATTCAGATACATCAACTTTACAACTGATACTAAGTTCTGCTCCTTGATTGGTTAAGATTTGTTCATGGATTATCGTTCTAAACTATCTTGACCACTCCAGGTTCCTATAGCATTATTTTATATATTCTGTTCTAAACTCAAGTTTCCTGGGTGTTTTCCTTATCTGTTCTTAGCAACATATAACCTGTAGGAAATATTGAAATCCTTGATTTTATGGAGGGAACTGATGAGTAAGCACTCGGTTCACTTCTTGCTTAATCTAGTCTTTTTTATGAGCAGACGAATTTATGATCTGTTACGATGAAATGAGTTTGAGTTCTTGCAGAATCTGACATCAAACAGCATGGATTCTCTTAATTTATTTTTCAAATTTTAAACTTAAAATGGCTTGGTAATTAGAAATTTAAATTATATATTGCTAGAAAGAGCATAAGCAATTGTACATAGATGACTGCTTGATCTCAAAAACTTTTAACATGTTGCTAACAGCTCGAATTTTCAAAGTTTTGGTTAAAATTATAGATTTACCTTTTCTAAGAATATTAATGATTATAAATTGTTTCCTTCCTAGGATTGAATTATAGGATTATGTGGGCTCTAATACATGCATATTTGATCATTCAGGAAAATCTATCGTTTGTGTTTGATGGATGATCCAGTATTAGTGGTGGTGGCTGTTTTTTATTTATTTATTATTATTATTATTTTTTTTTATTATTTTTTTAACATAATCTTCTGGGTGCAGGCACCCTTCTCACTGGGGTAGAGTTTGCTTTCTATCTACTCCAGATGGTGAAAACTGTGGCCTGGTAAAGAACTTGGCTGCCACTGGAGTCGTTAGTATCAATACATCAGAACCTCTAGTTGATAAATTGTTTGATAGCGGGATGGAGAAATTGGTTGATGATACTTACACTAAACTGGATGGGAAGCATAAGGTGTTTCTAAATGGAGAATGGGTTGGAGTTTGCGAAGATTCTTGTTTGTTTGTTGGTGAGCTAAGAAGCATGCGACGCAGGAGAGAATTGCCTTTCCAGGTTGTCTCATTTATAATTTATGAATTATTTTCAAATTTCTAGCCAATGAAATTTTTGCTTGGCATCAATTTGCTACTAGACCGACAGATTAAACAAGGTCTCAAAACTGAATTATATGGAACAATATTTTCTTTATTAATAAAACCATCCTTGAGAAGTTGCGGTAAGAAGCTTATTTATACATGTTATTTGTGATATTCATGTATGACCTTGCAATGTCCCAAAGTATTATTATATACTAGATCCAATTAAACTGTGTCCTTAAGCTGTCCATAGGTACTGTTGTACACCAGACCTGATGGGACTATGATTGGCAGGGGTTTTGTCCTAGTTGTGAAGCCCTTGTTGTCTGTTTATTTTCATGCGCTTTCTGATGGGCTAGGGCTGCCAAGAATAGGGACTCTAGAACTTGGAGTGGTAGAAGAATGGGTTAAACTGTTAGGGTTTGGGCGTGGTTGAAAAGGGAGAAGCTTGTAACAAGGAGTTGATGATTTTATTGAAAATCATTAAAAGAAATTAGCGTTACGATTTTTCAAGATCTAACCGTTACAATAGTGATCACAAGGGCCTCATCCAGAATAAATGTTATGAAACGTTGATGTTAAGCAGTCAAAACATGTTTTCTTCCTTATTTTTACCTCTTAACAGAATTGTTTCACTTTCAGTTATTGCTCGGGTGCATGTTTGAGTTGTTTCTCTCTTGTTACTTTCCTTCCATACTTTTTCTCTTTATGGTTTGGATAAAATAAACATTTATAGATTTACTCTTCTTTATCCTCTAAATGGCTGGTGTCGTGGGGATTTCATTTTATCTGATTTATTTTTGTCGTCTTCGTGACATCTTCAGTCATGGTTTTTTCTTGTAGGTGGAAATCAGAAGGGATGAACAACAGAGAGAAGTGCGCATATTTTCTGATGCAGGGAGGATCTTACGCCCTCTGCTAGTTGTTGAGAACTTGGATAAAATAAAAGCATTTAAAGGGGGAAATTACATATTCAAATCTCTTCTGGACCAGGGGATTGTCGAGTTTATTGGAACCGAAGAGGAAGAGGACTGCCATACTGCATGGGGCATCAAATTTCTTTTAGCTGAAGTTGAAGGGAAGCAACCTATGAAGTACACACACTGTGAACTTGACATGTCCTTTTTATTAGGTTTGAGTTGTGGAATTATTCCCTTTGCCAATCATGACCATGCACGAAGGGTCCTGTACCAAGCTCAAAAACATTCTCAACAGGCTATTGGTTTTTCAACAACAAATCCCAACATCAGAGTTGACACCTTGTCTCACCAATTGCACTATCCCCAAAGGCCTCTTTTTCGGACAATGATTTCTGACTGTCTTGGTAAACCTGAATATCCACTTGGTCATAATGCAGTACTGCCAAAGCCGGAGTTGTTTAATGGTCAGAATGCTATTGTGGCAGTTAATGTTCATCTGGGTTACAACCAAGAGGATTCGTTGGTAATGAATCGTGCTTCTTTAGAGCGTGGTATGTTTCGATCTGAGCACATTAGAAGCTACAAGGCAGAGGTGGACAACAAGGAGCTAACTGACAAGAGGCGAAAGTCTGAGGATTCTATAACTTTTGGGAAAATACAAAGTAAAATTGGACGGGTTGACAGCCTTGATGATGATGGTTTTCCTTTTATTGGTGCTAATATGCAAAGTGGTGATATTGTGATAGGGAAGTGTGCAGAATCTGGGGCAGATCATAGCGTGAAACTGAAGCACACGGAAAGAGGGATGGTTCAGAAAGTGGTATTGTCATCTAATGATGAGGGGAAAAATTTTGCTGTGGTGTCTTTGAGACAGGTACATTTTGCTATATATATATGTCTGTGTGTGTATTTATGTTTTATAGTAACATACAGACAGTTCTATTTGTGCCTGCATGCAATCACAGTTTCTGCGCACACATGCACGTCTTGCTTATAGGAAATGTAAGGTCTGGTGATGTGAAACAGAAATACATGTATTATGCAAAAGAGTGGCTAATGGTGTTTAATTTTGCTATCCTCTAGACCAATTTTACGTAATTATTGTTGGTGGATTCTTCTGGGGCTGGTTTTTCTTGGGTGTAGTCCTTTTGTACTTTAAAACCAAATGTTTGCATATTATTGATGTTGCCTTTTGCTTGATTGTGTTGCGTTCTTAAAATACATTTCCTGCCATTGGTTACGTTATTTAATTGCTGTTGCAGGTTCGATCTCCATGTCTTGGAGACAAGTTCTCAAGCATGCATGGGCAAAAGGGTGTTCTGGGCTTTTTGGAGTCTCAAGAGAACTTCCCTTTCACAGTTCAAGGAATTGTTCCTGATATTGTGATAAACCCACATGCATTTCCTTCAAGACAAACTCCTGGTCAACTATTAGAGGCTGCTTTAGGAAAGGGAATTGCCTGTGGTGGCTCAAAAAGACATGCCACCCCTTTCTCCACTCTCTCTGTTGATGACATCGTAGACCAGCTTCACAGGTGACATTGCATTTACTGATACTACTCTTTGCACTGCAATTGTACCATTTGTAAATGTTGATGCATAGTTTCTTTGAACTTCCTTTTTGAACGAAAATGCTTTAGAATTTAAAAAAATAAAAAAGTCAATGCTGTCTCATTCTATGTGCAAAGTGTACCAGATTTATTGTCAAATTTCATGCTGTTGTCTATTCCAACTACCTGTCCTCTCTTTCGGTACATGCTCTTGTTTTTCTTTCTAATTATTTTGAGACTGACATTCTGTTGAATATGTACACAGGGCCAAATTTTCAAGATGGGGAAATGAAAGAGTCTACAATGGTCGAACCGGTGAAATGGTACGTTCTCTCATATTTATGGGACCAACATTCTATCAGCGGCTGATCCACATGGCTGAAGACAAAGTTAAGTTTCGCAACACTGGACCAGTACACCCACTTACAAGACAGCCAGTTGCAGACCGTAAGCGTTTTGGTGGTATCAAGTTCGGTGAGATGGAGCGTGACTGCCTCATAGCCCATGGTGCATCTGCAAACCTGCATGAGCGCCTTTTCACTCTCAGTGACTCCTCTGAAATGCACATCTGCCAGAAATGTAAAAATGTGGCTACCGTGATCCAACGGCCATTGCCTGGTGGCCGCAAGATTAGGGGTCCCTATTGCCGGGTTTGTGAGTCTGTCGATGACATTCTCAAGGTTAGTGCACCTTATGGGGCGAAGTTGTTGTACCAGGAGCTTTTCAGCATGGGCATAAGTTTGAAATTTGAAACCAGGGTTTCTTGAGCTCTGTTTTTGGTGTATCTGCTAGTCACCTTCATGTTAATGGAAGTAGGTAACTTGTAAGATATGTTTTTTCAAGGTTATGCTCCCCGAATCTGTTTATGGTATGGTTTGATCAGTTCATACAAGGCAGTAAGCCAGGTTCTTTTCTAGTGACGGCAAGTTATATTGTTTTTCCCTTTCATGGACCAATTACCATTTAGGCTCCAGCCATGGAAGGACTATGGATCAGGAGCTTAAACCTGGGTTCCATGTTTCTCGCCCATGAGTGGTGGTAGCATGCAAATCTTGAATTCAACCTGGCTGTTCATCTGTGGCAGTTCCATTGGTTCTCTTAGATCTAAACATCTCATGTTTTCAATTTGAATAAAGCTACACCATCTAAGCCCAGATGAAAAAAAATTCAGCAATCTTACAGCCCGACTCCAACGAGTTGGTAGGATTTGAACCAGTGCCGTGTTTGATACCATTACGTCTAGACTAAACTTATGTTTTCAAATCGAGAAAGATCAGCCGAACCAAGATCAAACATAAAACTATCTCGTAGTTCGATCCAACAAGGAGCAGGATCTGAACTTGTAATCGGTTTTGGGCCTTTTGGCCATCTTGACAGGATTCACGTGTGATAGGGAAGACTATAATAGATTTATTGTAGTGTTATTTTAAGTAAAAAGGATGAATGAATAATAAATAAGAGGAACAATCCAGCAAAGTCATGGTCAAAGCCCTAGGTTGAAATAAAATAGAAAACCGACTGGTCAGGTCAACAAGAGTCAAAAAGGAAACAAAAAGCCAGATATGTTCCCTCTCCTCTTCTCTAACTAAAACCAAAACCAAAACCCTTGTTTTAGACAGACGAAAGCTCTCCTGTCTTTCACTTCTGTTTGGTTTCTTTTAAAATACTTAACCTTAAACACCTTCACTTTAAATATAAACAACAACATTAGAGGACCATGCAAGAACAGAACAAAGACCATAATATTGGGTTCAAAAACTATGATTGCTCTTCTTTTTCTCAGTTACTGAAAAAAGTCATGACATCCTCTTCTTCACCCGTTCTTGGATTTCAGGTTCTTTTACTTTACTTCTTTGCTCTGTCTTTTGTTTGTTATCTGTGTTGTGCGGTTTCGTGGGTTGCTTTTGTTTTTGTTTATAATGATACAAATTCTTGTGTAGCTTTTAATCAAGATTTTGTTTTTCTCTTTGAAAGTTTGCATCTGTAGATTTGTTTTTGAATCGGGTTTATTTTGTTTTTAATTTTTGGGTGAAATTGGTTTAGTTTGCAGGGTAACGTTGATTAGTGAGAAGGGTTGGCTGGTTTTGGTTTTGTTTTGAGTTTTGTGCTAATGAAGCGAGGACAAAAGGAGGAGACTTTCTGTTTAGTTTAGTCTATTTTGGAATGGTCGTGTTGGTTTTGATAACAATTTGAAAATGGATATTGACAATTAGTAGTATTATAAAGAATCCATCAGAGAACATTAAATTTGTTGCTTGCCCAAATTGCATGAAGTCTGATATGGGTTTTGTATTTTTTTTTTTAATGTTTATTTAGTCAATTATGTAAGAATAATTGTTTTGTAGGCGCAAAATGAGATGTTCCAACGGGATGCTCGGGTGGGTACAAAACCTGAAGCAGACTGTGTAGTGTTAGAACATCAAGCTAAATGTGCAAATACTTCTGGTGAAGTATTGTCTTTTACACCAGCTGCAATATCTGTCCCGCATTCAGCATCCATGACTCAAAAGCCGTTGTCAAAGCGTGAACTTGGACAAGTAATAAACCAGCAAAATTCTCACCATGAAACCAGTCGTCCACGTGTTGTTATGGAAGCACCCTTTGCTGATGGCTATAACTGGAGAAAGTATGGCCAGAAGCCAGTGAAGGGTTCAAAAAATTCAAGAAGCTACTATAGATGTGTCCATTCTAGTTGCGATGCCAAGAAGAAGGTTCAGCATTGCGAACAATCTGGTCGTGTTGTTGATGTTGTTTATATAGGTGACCATAATCATGACCCCCTCAAAGGAAATGCATCAGGGTTATATCATCTGCTAAGCGTACTGTAGGCAGCCAAATTGTAGATCCTTCAGTTCAAAAGCTAGATGGGTCGGATATTTCTGTCTGTTCGGCAGATGGCAGGCATTCATCTCTGCATGTGCCTGAATCAGAACAACAGAGTTCAAGCAGTTCTAACGGAAATCCAGGAGCTAGGATAGAAGAGAAAAACGGTGACGAGTCAGAGTCAAAACAATGGTAAGTTGTTTGAGAAACATGATAGTTTAAAATGTCTTTTCTGTTTATTTTGCTAATATTGTCGTTGGCATCATGATTATCATTTACAGCTTTGGTTCAAGGGCAGTGGGATCCCAACAAAATGGCTCCTGTGGGATTGCAGGTTCTGAGGTTCGGGAGAAGCATAGTGCTGAACCAAGGCTGAAAATAAGGCATGTCCTTTGTGGAATTTGGTTCTCTTGAACCTTAGATTTTAGTTTTGAGTTTTCTAATTCAATTCAATTGGTCTTCAAGCAGGTTGAAAGAAAGAAGTGCGGAATATTCAGTTCCTGTCTTGAAAACTTCTGAGCCTGAAATTGTTGTGCACACTGTTTCTGATGAGGGAAGCTCAAAGGATGGCTATCGATGGCGCAAGTATGGTCAGAAGATGTTGAAGGGGAATTCATTTTTGAGGTAGATTTCGATTCATGTTAATTTGTGCATTTAGTGGAATTAATTTTAAGGCACTATTTTCCTGCTGTAGCTGTAAATACTAACTAGTATTGGGCTTTGTTTTTCTTACCTTGTTGAACTCCTCTTCGACATGTGGATACTTGAACCATAGTTTTATACGCGGATGTGGTTGTAAAAACGGTCGCAATAGTGATTGTGGGTTGCGGCTTATCACGATAGTAAAATAATAGTCATGAAAACTGATGTCGTGAATGCATTAACAGGTTAGCAGGTGTTAATAAATTTAGTCTAATTCACATATTTTTAACATTTTTATTAATTAAGCATAATAATAATATCTCTAATAATTTAATATCAAACAACAATAGTTGAATTTATTACAAAAGAAAGTTAATAACACTTCTAATAGTTTAATATCACACAACAATAATAAAATACAAATAATCAATTTTTTTTTTAATAAAACGGTCGTTATTCACCAAATAAAGGCAATAACGATAACAGTGTATAACACTGTTATTTTTTTGAAATGCCATTGTGCTCCCTATAATGGCATATAATAGTAATGGGCATATGCTCGAATATGTTATATAATGGCTGTTATTTGTAATCATGATTTGAACTTGGCCTTGAGAATATTTCTCCCAACCAATATAAGTTATGTAAACTCTTTATCTTTTGTTTCTTCTTTTAAACCTTATCATTCTTACTTTCATCTATCCCTTGGTGAAATGTTAGGAGCTATTACAGATGCACATCTTCAGCATGCCCTGCTCGTAAGCATGTTGAGAGGGCCACGGATGATGCGACTTCTACCACAATAACATACGAAGGGAAACATGACCATGATATGCCAGCACCTAAGAAAACACATGGTTCAGAAAGTCGTCTTATTTTCCCAGCTGCTTCCGCGGACAATGCCTGCTGCAAGAAAAACAGAAGCTTATCTAGTCGAAGGCCTTCAAGCAGGTGCACAGTGGAGAGTGAAGTAGATTTAATGGGTGAGAAGATCATGGAGCTTGGAGGTGAAGAGGCATTAGAATCAGCTCAAACTCTTCTCAGCATTGGAAGTGAACTCAGGCCTTGCTGAGAAACAAATTTTTGTAGTGGTTGATGCAGAATATAGTATTATGAGCCTTTTTTTCATGGAAATTATACGAACTTTCTCAATTCGAGTTCTAATGAAATTTCCGTAGTTTTATTCCCACCTTTTTGAAATCTTCCAGGTTAAGTATCATCACGTAAAACTAGAAGGTTAGTATGTACTCGATCACACATGATGGTTCGTTGGTTCATGTTGCGATACTGGATAGTAAATCTGTACATTCCATGCATTTTGTAGAGATCAAATCTGGTTCATGGGAATTGAAATTTGAAAAGGTTCGAGAAAGGGTTCTTCAGCTATATTAGTGACAATCTGAAACCACTGCGACCTAGGTGTAACCACTTGACCCAGATTAAACCTCTTAGAAGGACCCAAACTAATCTGTCAACATGTCTTTTTCCTTCTTTTCAACAACAAAAACGAAAAGCACAAAGCAGAACATCAACTAGAGCAAGATAGTAATGAGGTGCTATATCTTTAACAGCAAGCAGCAGTAAATGCTACATTGTCTACGTTCCTTGGCTTGGTTTGCTCATGGAAGTATATCCCAGCTCCATTAAGCAGGGAAAGTAAGTGAAGTAACTCCTCATTACACAGCTTTGCAGGTCTCTTATCTTCAAAACCACCTGCTTTTAGGACCTCGATGATCTTCTCCTTGAACAAACCCAATCCTGTATCTGCAAAAGGAGATGAATGACCCTCTTCTTCATCGCTCTCCTTCTCATTGTCCCCATCATCAGCACAGTCATACTGGTTCCTGTTCACTTCTCTGTTACAGCTCCTGATTGTTGATAATCTGAATAGCTCTATCACCTTCTTCTTCTGCTTAAATGTTGCCCCCAAGGTCTTATTCTTCTTCCCAAAACATGTTTTCGTGAACGCCCACCATTCATCCAGATTCACATCAGGAATTTGATCTTTGGGCCGAATGATAACCACTGACGAATCAACTTTGGGAGCAGGATGAAAATCTCTCTTGCTTACATCCATCACAAACTCCACATCTGCCACCAACTTCACATTCACAGCCAGCCTATTGAACTCAGAATCACCAGGCTTGGCCAACATTCGCCGTGCAAATTCTTTCTGAAGAAGAAGCGTCGCACTTCGAAATGGATTTGCCCCATACACCAATTTAGCCACAAGAGGTGACGATATACCATAAGGAATGTTAGCCACAACAAGATCAAATTTAGGAAATTCAGCCTTCAATGCATCCACTCGAATAACCTGCAAAACCACATTAAACCATTCTCCTAAAGATTAAACTTTGACCATTTTCAAAGCAACAATATAAGTTAATAGCAGAAGAAACCCAGCAATCCACTCTCTAAAGATTATATTTTAATCACTGTTAAGAGCATAATAAGTTAATAACAAAAGAAACCCATATGCCATTCTCAATAAAGATCAAGTCTTTGTAACTGTAAAAGCATAATAAATCAATTACCCCCTTTTAAAAAAACGTAACACTTTAGTCATTATAAAACAACAGCAACTTCTGTCACGCATTTTATCAAACAATTGCATACAAACCAAACTCACATTGAGTTTCTCTTCAAGTCCATGCTCTTTCACTCTTTTGTTAAGAACCTCAACCATCCTTTTATCAATTTCAACAGCAACAACCTTAGAAGCAACATTAAGAAGTTTAAGAGTGAGGTTTCCAGTTCCTGGTCCAATTTCGAGGACAGTGTCAGTAGGGTTTATTGAAGATTTTCTAACAATAGTGTCTAGAATTCTCAGGTTAGTGAGCAAGTGTTGGCCTTTGCTTTTGTACAGGTATAAATTGTCTTGCTGGTTACGTTCTTCTGTGATTCTAGTTCCGTCTGTGTCGTTGTAATGATGGGTTGGTTTTGTACGAAGTTCTCGGAGGGAGTTTTGTCTGAAAATGGATTGAATAAGGTAGAAATGGATTGGATTTCTCTTCTTCAACTGCGTCTTCATGAGGAAAATTAGAAATTTATTTTCTTTTTGGCATCATTTGCAGGCTCTAATGGCAGCTCTCTTGAAGGCTGTCACTGATTTCGCTTCAAGCAGAAAAGAATCTTATTTTCTGCTAACTGGTCAACTGACGGGTCGTTTTGTCTGGTAAGATTGTGCCGTAGTTAGGAGCCGTCAGATTGGGCCTTCATTTAGGTAGTAAGTAGTCTTTAGTTCAAAATATGAAGGGTCAATTATTCTTTATTCCCCAGTTTTGATTGCAATTATAGTTTAGTACTTTATCTTTGAAAATTTGTAATTTAGTTCCATAATTCTTATTGACCGTTGTCTTATTAAGACATCTTAGGATTTTTCTGAGAGAAATGCTTTTTTAAAAAATAAAATAAAAAATACTGAATTTTAGACCACGAAATAAACTTCTTTTTATAATAAGAATGTTCTTAGATCAACTATCGCATCAATCAATCGAGATTATATTTCTCTTCAAATAAACTTGAGGATGCACCTTTTTATCAATCTAATGCACTAATAGAAATTTAATAATTTTTAATGAATGTTGATATCAAGGTTTGAATTTAGAAAATCGGAAAATGAGTAAATCTCCTTAATTATCAAGATAAATCTCGAGAGATGTGGTCTAACAATAATGAGATTGTTTTGATTTAGCTAATACAAATAATCGATGCTTATTATCTACGAATAATTAATCATGATTATTTTTTAATGGTATTAGATTTGGACTGATTTGATTTAAAAAACAACTTAGTGGCTAACCAAAAATCAAACTTGTTCCAATGGTGGTTTAGCCTAAAGAATGGTTGACTTAGTTTTGGTTGATATGAAATTGATTCAAATATATATATATATATATATATATATATATATCATAAAAACACAAAGTATATATATTTTAATCATTTTTTCACCTTCTTTTAAAAGTGAATGAAAAATACATGAACTAAACTTCGATAATTATATTACCACATATGAATTCTTTCGTTAAAATTTTATTCTAACATGACGTGACAGGACAACTTAAATGATAACATGGATTAAAATCCACGTAGGATTACATATGGCTATAAATTAAAATTCTTCCTTTATTTGGACAACTTGTCATCCAAATAATATCAAAATACAAACATAATCAAAACCAAAAAATCCCTAATCTTTTTCTCTCCCCAATCTCGAACCCATCCTCTTACCCCTCATGGATCTTCAACAAAACACAACAAAAAGTATGTCTCTGTGAAGAAGTCAAATTATATTGATCAAGAGAGATTGGCCTTGTTCTTGTAGATGATAATTGCAAACTATTGACTGTTACAATCAAAACAATAAAAAAAATAATTATTGAGACTATGATTTCGTGGGGTTGCTGTCAACGGTGTGGGGTTCGATGGTGACTATCAACGGCTAGGGGATGGAGATCAAGTGATTCGAGCAACTATGGATGAGCTGTGGGTTTAGGTGTTGATGGAGATCGATGCTAATGGAGTGGTAATTGTTGAGAGTGACAGTAGCGGTTCAAGGAGGGGATGGAGTTTCTTAAAACGAATTAAACAGTCTCTTTTGTTATAAAAAAAATTAATTAGTCTATTAATCAATGTTAATCATACTGAATTCAATATTATTTTGTTTAAAAAAATATCTTTTTTTCACCATCATCCTTTTCATATTATCTACTTTTTAAAACAAAAGGCAAAATAAATTGAAAAAAGACATGAAATGAATGAAAATAATTAATTTACAAATAGATTTAAAAATATAAGAAGTAATTAATTATTTTTTGAAACTAAAAGGACTACTTTATTCATTTTATAAAACTATAAAGACTGACTTATCATTTACTCGTTCATGTTTAGAATTCTCTTTTTGGTCAGAGGTAGCATTGCTCTTTCTTTAAATTCCCATTATGTTGGTTTTTCTTTAAAAACTTATTATTATTTTTTTTGGGTTCATAAGGTTTTGTACTTACAAAGTTGGAGGTTCTGTGCAATAATCATAAGAACTCAAAAGTATAGATATTCAAACAGGCCAAGTATAATTGCATTCTAAATAATAGTTTGCTCAAAAATGAACCACAGATTTGCAAACTTGTACCGGTTTCTTGCTTGGTTCTTAAGAAAATTGAAGAAAGGAAGTTGAACATGGATAGAAAAAAACCCTGCCAGATGTTGCAGATATCCCAACAATAAAGGCAAACCAGATTATTATCCAGGTTAGGTTTTGTTTCTGACAAAGGCCCGAAATGATCATGAAATCATAAGGGACTTCTGTTTGTTGAATCATCATTGAAACAAATGAAAGGAAGCAAAAGTCCCATCGCCTCTGTAAGATATATCTGATGTTAACAAACAAAAAAGGGCTTAAACCTATGACTATGAAAGATCCTGTTGGCAATGGCTTGTACAACAAATTATGTGAGAACCTAATTCTAAGGAAAACATGAACATTTAAAAGACTAAATTTAATATTTCCACTCCTGCTGCAATAATAGAGCTGACAAATAATGCAAAGCTTAAAATGCCATATTTGGATAACTAGTGTCTTCAAGGACCCTCATCCGTTCCCGTTTGTAAATGGTCCCGGCCACTTGCATCCGGCATTCCCTCTTGAAACTTTATGGGTTCATCTCTCAGATGTAAGGTTCTCGCAATTCTGTTGGCAGCTCCAACTCTGGTTCAAACTGCCCAAGTGGGGAAAAATAGCTATCCACCATGTCTTTGCTTACTTCTCCTAAACTTGGAGGGTCCCACTGCATTTTCAGATGGGAAACACATTGCTAATTTAAGAAAGAAAGATCGCATGAAAAAGTAAGACTATAAGTGGATTAAGTACCTTTGGAGCAAAATCCTTATCTACAAACCGAGCACGCACACCCTATGAAAAAGGTTAATTCAAGCAGTTACAAGAGACTGAAACTTCAAAAGGTTTTGCAGCATGTAAGAAAAATATAAGAAAAGAGAAAAATGGTAAAAGAAAGGTACCTCACAAATATCATTAGACACTCGTTTGGACATAACAGTGAGTGATATTCGGTATTCACGAGCAAGACACTGATCGAGAGATTGAAATCTACCTTCTTGTATCTAAATGCCACAAAAACCAAAGTCAGCTCTATAAATCACAATAGACACCACCCATAGCTGTGAAGCAGAGCATTAACTTACCGATCGTAATGCAACTTTTAAGCTCAGTGGAGAGGCTTCTTTTATTTTGCTGATGGCTCTTTTACACCATTCATCATAAGAGCTAGCTGCCTCATTTTCCTGAGAATATAAATGTTGAACTGTCTGACACACGACTGAAGCACAAAGGGCATCACATAGAAAATGAAGCTTACCAATGCATCAACAATTTCCTCAACTGTATCATGGCCAAAACATTTATCAATTGTCTCAAACCTGAAACATAATGGAATGGAAATGAGGAAATAAAGTAAGTTGGACATACAGGTTACATATGCTGTATCGTGTATAAGATTTATGATGCCTTTTCTTTTCTTTTCTTTTTATTTTCGGGTCCGACAAGAAATCAAACCTAGGAATTCCTAGGAAACTACCCAAACCCTTACCACTGGCCCAATCTCGGTGGCTTACTTATGATGTCTTTCAGAATGCTTATATGCCATCAGTGTCAAACTAACAATTTTTTTTTCCCAGATTGATAGATGTTGCAACTTGCAAGAATATTCAACTGTAATGCAATTTATGATCAAAATTGTAAGAACTAATATTGAAATTGTGAAGGAACTAAATCAACACAGCAGGAAGCAGAGTGAAAAAGTAAGAAATGCATAATGAGATGTTACTTGTAAAGGACGCTCGTCTTATTTGGATAGACAAGGTCACCATATTCTGCAAGAGAAGTCTGTATGACAGTGGCCTCATCTGTGATCAATTTACCGAGGCGTTCTTCAACCAAATGAAGTCTCTGTTGAGGATTAGATTATTATAGGCTACACAAAAGTTGCAGGTATAAACAAAGAGTACCAAAGAAGAAATATAGCAGTAGCCTGCAGTGAGAACAGACCTCATTTAATGCATAGTGAGAAGCAAGGCCACAAGCAATCATTTCTACACCATTAAGCTTGTCTCCTGTTAGAGCCAAGTATTCCCCTGAAACAAAGAATAACAACATTATGCAAAAAATAAATATAAAAAATCTGGTTCATAAGAAAATAAAAATATAGGTATGGAACAGAACATACGATAAATAATGCATTTTCAAAAGCAGAGACAACTGGTGTTACCTAAGTAACCAGGTAGGCGAGAAAGATAAAAGGAGGCCCCTGCGTCAGGATGGAAACCTATTTGAGCCTCTGGGTGAGCAAAAACCTGCATATCATGCATAAGTAAGACGCACTTTACCCAAGTGTGCTTTATGGAAAATAAAATCCGTGGCAACTACATCAATATGATATAAGCGAAAGAAAAGTTTCAATATTGTCTGACTTGAGTTCAAGAAAATTAATAGCATTTCATTCAGATGTTAGTATGTAGCACCAGTCACTCACAGTTTTATTAGTTGCCACACGAAACATTCCTGGTATTGCAATCCCAGCCCCAGAGCCCATGGTGAGACCATCCAAGATGGCCACCTGAAAGAATGTATAACAAGAAGAAAGTAAATTAAATCACAACCAGTTTAAAAGCTACCCACAAATGTTGTTCAATGAAAAAAATTATGCTCTTGTTACGTGATAACAAGATTTCATCTATAAACTTTGTAGCACAAATATGGCATGCGAGATAACTAGAATAACCAGATACCATTGCTTATCTCTAAACAAACTGAACTCTACACAGAAATTTTCTAAAATGTCAAACTCTCACATGTGGCTTCAAATATGTTGCTTGTAGGTAGACAAACTTATACAATGTCTGCAAATATGTTTTGCATTCTTTAATTTTTCCTGTACAAGACCAAAATACAGTTCAGAAGTATATCAGCAACAGTGTCAGTAATCATGACTATTTGTAAATGTGAACCAAAGGCTGCATCTGAATAAAAAGCAACACTAAAAAGCTCAAAGTTAAACAAGAAGAGACATGAAATGTTGATACAAAAGGTCTCAAGTCAGCAATTTATTGCCCAGTAACCAAAAGAATGAAACAGATGAAGTGAAACAGTTGTGGCCAAAATCTAAGCCTGGTCATGTCAAGTAGTCCTAAAACCACCAATCCTTCTACATCTGCAGAATTTGTGATTGGCAAACACATCTGATCAGTGTTTAGGGATTGGCTGTCATCAGGTACCAGGAAAAAAAAAGGTTTATTTTGGCTTTGAAGTTTGAACGATCTCTCTTAACTATAACATTGACATAAGATTCCTAATGTACGGGAAAGAATGTAGTTCATTCAAATTCAAAATTCCATGGACATGGAGCCTTGTGGCTCAAGAACTCTGAGAGATAGGCACTCTTAATTACATGTAAGTGCATTTGTGTGCTTGTGCGCGCGTGCACAAGCATGAAACCCACCTTCATTTAACAATTCACAAAGAGAAATGACATCTGAGCCGGAACAGAAAGCCTTCCCGCTACCCTTCATAAGATATGAAGAAAGCAGGTTAAACAACCAGCATGACCAATTTGGAGCAAGAAAACATTTCTAGCAACAAAGTAAATGCATTTGGCAAACATGTTTATAACATATGGTCACAAATGAAGTCAAAGCTCTATACCTTCATTAAGACAAATCCGATATCAGGGTTCTCTTCCCATGATTCATACAGTCTCTTCAACCGAACCACCTAACAAGTAAGAGACCTTCAACTTATTTACAGCTTTTCCACATAGCGACAAAACAACTCTAATAAGCAAACAAAACATATAGAGAAAAAAAGAGCAAACCATCGGAATTGTGAGAGCATTGAGAGAAGCTGGTCTATTAAGAATGGCTGCTCTTGATTTCGCTCTCCCTTCAACCAAAACCTGAAATATATCACACCCACAAAACAAAAGGCTCTTTTACGTTACATTTTCTTTTCATAAATAAACCATTTCTCAAAACAAAACCAAATGGCGCACACGCACACGCACACACACACACACACACACACACACACACACACACACACAACATAACCCAAAAACAAATTTAGGAAAAAAAAAAAAAGGACTCAAGCCTTTCAATTGGGCAAAAGCATTTCTAAACAAATAAACAAAAAGCTCCATTCTTGTGAGTCTTCTCTGCATAAACAAACCATTTCTTAATACAAAACTAAATGTCATAGACACAACATACAGAAAGAACAAATTCTTAAGCAGAAAAGATTGAAAACCTGCACCAAAAAGACTCAAACTCTAAATTGGGTGCATATATTCTAACAAATAAAGCTCCATTCTTCTTTATTTGCTCTTAATTAACGAACAAATTCTGGATACAAAACCAAATGGCACAGACGCACATCATACAGAAAGAACAAAATTTGAAGCTAGAACTTAAAAGACTGGAACTTTCTTCTTAAAACTCTAAAACTTTCAACTGGGTACAAACAATTTTAGAAAAATAAACAAAATCCCCATTCTTGTGAGTCTTCTCTTCATATACGAACCAATTCTCAGTAGAAAACCAAATGCCATACACACAAAACATACACAAAGAACCAAAATTATGCTAAAAGACTGAAACACCACCCATGGATGCAAACATTTCTAAACAAAAACACATATAAAGAGACTGACTGACTGACCTGGTCTTGGCGGTCATCATTTTGAGCATAGTGTGGTAAAGCAGAGAAGTTTCTCTGATATGAGAAAAACCCATTTCTTGCTTGCTTTAACTTTATCAATCCTTTCAATCCCTGCATCATCTCTCACTCTATTTGCTTGTGCTGTTGCTGTTTCTTGTGTTCTCTTCTCTATCAATGGAGGCCACCTTCCCTTGGTTTAGTTCGCTGTTCAGTGTTTAGCTCTCGCAGAGGGAGGAGTGAGGGAGTTCCTAGAGGGTTTGGTGTTTTCCGTTAATGGGCTCCAAATTTATGGGCCGCACCACCTTCTTGGGGGTTCCAACTTGGGTTTCAAAATTTTATTTGTGTCCCAATAAAGTCCTTAGAAATAAAAATTATTTTTCTTTTCTATTAAGGTTCTATTGGATTAGGGTTAAAAGTTGAAGATTAAGCATTAAAATAAAGTGTTAAGGATATAAAATCTTGATCAAATGATAAAGAGTTAAGGATGTTTGGTAGGTAGGTTTGTAAAAATTACTTGTAACGATAGGATTTGAGTATATTAGCCTTGTTTAGAAGTTAATTCAAAAATAAAAAATAAAAAAAGATTTTTTTAAAAAATAATTTCACCTTACTTAAGAGGGTTGGCAGCGAAATGAGCTTTTGTAGTTTAAACAAATAGTTTCGGATTCGAGTTTTTTTATATGCAAAAAACTCTTTAAGTAGTTGTATCTATTTTGTACATCCGATTAAATAGCAACAAATTAGTCTAGATTTTTAGACCTTGAACACCCTAAGGATAAAAAACAAAAATAAATAATTTGGCCTTATATATTTAAAGAGAAAAAGTTAGAATTTTTCAAGTAATGTTGAAACCTGCTTCTTTCTATATCCATGCAACTTCTTCGAGCACCTGCTTGTTTGAAACCTATATATACCAAATCCGTAGTAGTGCCCATAGTTTTAAATAGTGGATCTGTTGAAAAAATGATCGCGGTCATCATTGTGGATCGCGGCTTACTCATCATTACGGATCGCGACTTACTATAATACTAAAATAACGATAACGAAATACTCCAAAATCATTACATAACGATCGGTATTTAAAACTAGGTAGTGCCACATCGAGTCGAAGCATCTTATTGTACTTTAGCTTGTACTTGTCAATAGCAACACGTCTGCTGTCAATTGAAACTCCATAGGAAAGACACTAATCAATCATTTCAGGGTTAAAAATTTAGGGTGCATGATGCAGGGGTTCGTTGTGCAGCACCCTGAAATAGTGATGAAAGCTTCTTTTTCAAAATTTGTTTCTCCTTCCAGGACTGTTCAATCGACTCCACTTTTTTTTTAAGAACACTATTTTATGTTCCATTGCTATGTTTTCCTCAGAGGTAATGGTCAATTTGTTACTGGTACTGACTTGTTTATCACCCATAAAGTTAATGATCCAGAAAAAAAAAACTTTCATTGTTCGTTCTGCCCTAACTTTGGCTCTCAACTCTTGTGAGGAAGAACATATTCATGTAATATGGTCATGACTGGTGAGTGGTGACAGCATATGAAATGTAACAAAAACCTCTTTGTAAGTTTCAGTCTGCAGTTGAACGTGAGTTTATCTTTATATTTGTTCAAATACAACAAAATGAGAAGGCCAAATTCATTTTGTTCTAAACTGAAGGTTCTTGGTTAAATTTCAAGCTTGCAGATGACCAATCGAAAGCAAATGCCATAATCTCCTTCGTATGCATTCACTTCCTTGAATTCATTGCTTTCGTTAGCTTACAACTTGTTTCGACAAATTCATGTGATTCTTCAAGTGAAAGTACTCAGCTCGAATAAGAATGATGACCTTCATTTAGCTCTCCTACTGGAATAGCATATGGTGAATTCCAGTCAGCATCAAAGATTGCTTGAAGCTGTGAAACAATGGCAGGGTTGTATGTCCCGAAACTGACACCAGCTGTTGTGTAAAAATAATCCCATATAAGATTGCTCGTCCCGATGTGAGCTCGTATATCACTAACTGCATATTTTCCATGATTGACCCGGGTAAAGCCTGGATAAATATTTCCTGTGCTAGTCCCGCTGCTAATGGCAGGTCCTGTCTGGTTATAACCTGGAACCACATAGTACTTGATCTCAACTTTACCAGAACAGTTGTTATACTTGGAGGAAGAGCAGAGGACATTAGAGTAGAGAAGAGACTTCAGATACTGATCAGTGCCGTCGAGAAAATGTGCCCAGTATGCTACCAGTATCTTCACTGTCGCATGCTTGGCGAAGACAACCTATCAATTCACCAAAGTCATCAAAATGCGAAAATCTTTCAGAACATTGATATATTCTTTGTAAATGCAGACACATATGCACAGGGAAAAAAATTGTGTAAATGCCATAGGCTCAAGTTGTAAGATGTACGCAAAAAGGGAAGAAAAAATTAACAGAAATGCAGTAAAGTATGCACATCAAAAAATGAGACTTGTTCTGCTAAGTATATGCCCATAACCTCTCCGAGCTTGGTAGTCATATTTGTTCTGAAATCTTACCAATCCAGGCAGCCACATATTTGTTCTAAAGAAGTGAATAATCTTAAGAAAAGCAGAAAAGTAATGGTATAAAGACATAGGTACCTCTGATATTGCAGAGGAAAGGGATGACCAGTAAACTGTTTCCTTAGTATATTGGGATTGACCAAGCCAATCCATAGTGTTAATCCTAACCGTGGATCCAGTTCCAACGGATTTAATTGTATCAATCCATGCCTGTTCATCAGCCTGGTACCTGCCGAATGATAGCTGCTCCCGAATATAACATCAAAATGTGTAAAGCATAAAGCACAAAATGCATTCTTAAAATATATGGATACATATCAGAAGCTACACGCTTCAAGTAACAAAAAGTGGCTCGATTACCTCAGGAGGAGCAAAGGATAAATAGCTTGGTTGAGGCTGCAAATATGAATAATGGTGTCCGGGAGTTTCTATTGGAATTTTGAACATCTGTGGGTCTGATAATGTAGGATAGCCTTTAGTGTGGGGAACTTCCACAGAAAGAGGAAGAGGTGACCTGAAACAGGTAAACGATCTTAGGTTTAGCTAATCATAAATTTTCCATGAGTATAATTTTCCCTTTATGCTTCACCAATAAGGCAGTAAAGCATAAAAAGAACTGGGACAAGAAGTTGACAAACAAGTTCTTGAAGACCATCAAACGGATAATTATGCTTCCCAAAAGATGCAGTCCATGCTCGATCACAAGAATCTAATAAACAGAAAATGAAGCAGATCTAATTATCAAAGCAGCAAATGTGCCAGATGACTCAGCCTCAATAAAGACGCCTGCAATCACGACATATGCTTTTGCTTCATATAATTTCCTTGAGAAACATTACAGGTGATAATCCAAATCATCTCACCAGAAGACATATTGATTCCAAGAAACAAATAACTTGCTCAGGCTAATGGAAAAGTCCTCTGGCATACCTGCATCTTTCTTTAGAATCGATGAAATGCGACCAGCATGGAACCGTTCTATTAACTTGCCACTGTTGATCAGAAACAGTTCTTGTGTAAACCGATGAGTTAAGAGAGGCAAGTTTCCATAAGTTTCCAAAGTAGGTCTCAACATTTTTTGCTATTTTCGGACAATCAACTAGATAAATTTCAACCTCCTTAACCTGAAACAATACAAAAACATGAATATCCACAGCAAGATTCAACTGCAAGTCAGCAACAAGCTGAGACAACTAGAAGAACCAAAATAAAAAATAAATAAAAATCCAAGGCAATGGATTCTGCAGTTCAACAGAAGTTAACCAAGCAACAGACTAGACTACAATTCAAAATACCTGAGTGAGAGATTTCCAATCATTATTTGCAGATCCAATATACACATCTTTTCGGTCTGATATCCAAACTTTGGTATGAACTATGCCTGACCCCCACCATTTGCTCAGTAACAAAGTCATACTCTTCACATTTGGCCTTCCTGAAGCAAGCTCAGTTGGTTCTTTTGTATAGTCAGGATAAACACCTGAGTGTTGTAATAACCTAGGAGACATTCAATTTCCCAACAGAACAAACATAGTTCAAATTACAACTACAGTAACATAAAAATGCAAGAGAACCAACTTCTCTTTGTGAATTTGAGATGCATGTGAAAACCCATTACACAGAAACTAAATTAGGCCAAACCCATATGCAAACCAAATGCAAATCACAAATAAAGCCCATAGGAATACTAAAAATGAAAGAACTCACCTGATACTAACATTTCTAAGGGCAGAATCCTCTATGGCTTTATAAACAGCAGAACCTTGATCAGCACCAAATCTCTTCATCTCCTCTTTAGAGTAACCATAATCCCCCGAACGAGGATCATCAGGACTTGCCACTAACTGCCAGTATTGAGCTATAACATCCAAACTCTTAGTAGAATTCTTGGCCAACCAAAGCAACACGTCCCCTTTGAAACAACAATACAATCATATCAAACACTAAAAAGCATAATAGGTTGCAAAAATTTGAACTTTTTTTTTATAAAGATTCTTGAAGAGCAAAATGAGCAAAACCAATCAAAGTTTTACCAGTGGAGAGAACACCAGGGACATGAGAGAGGTGCGGCATGTCTGTAGGGATTGATTGGACTAGCCATGCTTTGCATTGTGGTGATGATTTAGTTAGAGTAAGATTGGCTAATGATAATAAGAGGCAGAGGGAAAGTGAAATGATGATGCCTGAAAGTGGATGTTTCATGTCTTCTTGTACAAATTTGTGGTTAGTTTGTGCTTTTTGTCTGTAAAGGATAGTGCTTTGTGTGATCGCAACTATGAAACGTGTTGGTCATAGCTATAGTTGGAAAGTCAAAAGGAAAGGCTTTTTGGTTCATCAAATCTAGGAAAAGAACATGGAACGGAATCAAGTCTAGCATCCTTTGACTTAGGTTTTCAAAGGATTTGAAATTACACAAAAGGATTCTTATTTTTAGTAATCTTAATTGGCAACAGCTAAGGATTGCCCTTAGAGAATCTTATATTGAAAGATAGAATCTTTTTAATGAATTTAATGGTTAAAACAAAAAGATTTTGAGATAAATATATTTGTAACATTTGCTAGAATTTGAAATTCGATTATGCAGCAAAAATAAGAGCTTGTCCCCCTAAAAAATCTTGGGAAATTTGTAAAACTTGAAATACAAAATTGATGCAAAAAATTATTCGTCCTGAGGCTTGATCACACATCAATGAGGTGAAAAATTGGAAAAAGGAGAGGCCATGAGAAATTTAACAAGCAGAGGAGAAACAAGAAAGGAAGGATTTAAACCTTCATGTCATCATATACAAGAAAGAAATCATAGGTTAGCAGGACGACTTTTCATGAACAATCTAAGCGAACTTCATCCATAGACGTAGATAACATTACAAGTTGAACCCATCCAACAGATGTTAGAAATTAAAAGCCACTCAAAAAACTGATTGCACCTTCATCCATCAACTAGGTAAAGATAAAGAGATGACTAGAATAAAAACCTACTTTTTACACTTGAACAGTTTTTAACATATCTTCTTCCCTTGCTGCGTTGAGATGAAGCTCAAACTCATTCTCTCTAGGAGATGGAGTGTCTCCTTTGTCTTGAAGATGAACCAAAGGACTTGGTATCACCAGGAGCAACTGAAGTTGGGCTCTGCGAACTCCCAGAAGTCTCTGAGCTTCTGTTCTCGACATGCCCTCTACCCACAACCCACAATCTATCAAATATCCTCCTTGATCGAGATGGCAGCAACTGCACGCCACTTTTGGAGCTCTTGCTGTTTTTCTTCAGCAGCTTTCGATTTTTCCGGAAGTCTTCATTTTTTATCTTCATTTGACTCATCTGTTTCTTGAGGGATTTGTTATCGTCAGCTGCTGTCTTCTCCCATTCTTCATCTGTGTTTGTGGTGGAATTTGAATTATCACGTGCATTGTTGTTGAGAGCTTGAACACCAGAAGCTGCTCTGACCTGTTCAAAAAAGAGAACTTGGACTACAACACGGAGAGGGAGCCGCTCATTCTGTGCAGCATGCATTGATGCATCCATTGTAAGTTTCTTGACATCCATTAGTCCACATATCTTCTTTTTTTCTGCCTTTGTCAAACTGGTATGCTCCTGAATCCAAATACCCCATTGGTGAATCATAACAGAAAAGTGTTTCACTCTTAGAGGGAGTGCTTGTAAAGAAAAAGATGGAGACATGAAGCATCCCCATGTTGGTGAATCACACACAATTAGCTGATACCCATAACCCAAAAAGAAAAGGTCATTCTTCACCATAAGCAGTTTAAAACATTTTCTATACAGATAACAAATCCCCAAGCACAACACATTTCAGTTGACCATGCTGCTTGAAATCCGAAAAAGGTGGCATCTTCCTTCTAATGTGGCTTCATGTGAATACTTTGTGTGTGTTGCAAGCATCGGAAAAGCAAAATATCATGAAAGTATTTTGTATTAAGCATGCAGACATACACAAACCCTATAGGTGTTTAAATCATAAAACTAAAAGCTTAAATAAGACTAAGAGAAATTCCTAAAAGGCACAAAAAACTACCTTCAGGTACACGTCAATGGCTTTGTACAGTCCATCGTGAACTGGTCTTGCAGACTCTGGAATTGACCGTGACAAGTCAACGAAGCTGGCAAGGGTGAGATTTGGGTCATGTGCAATTTCTGCTAGATATCCATCAATCAATTTACCAACATTCATCAAGGATACATGTTCATGCCCTAAAATAAAGTCACCATTCTCCTCATGCTTGGCATCCTGATTATACTTTTCATGCATCAAATAACGATTAACAATGCACTGAATCAATTCCACATCATATAATGTGTTTTGTGGAGGCTGAGCTGGGATCAGTAAATCCTTAACAGAAGCCTCGTGCAACTTCAAACTGATTCTCTTCACTAAATCTTCCCTGGGTGAGTCATCTGCTCCAACCAGAATGGCAAATTTCAGCAATTTCAGCAAGAAACTACATGAACAACCCACACCCTTGTCTGGAGGCAACAAACAAATGAGTGTTTCTACCAGATATTTGTACCTCCAGGTACGAGCATCAGAAACTGAGTCATCAAACGAATCTGGCAGCCATCTGACTGCATAAGTTTTCAGTGCTTCCCCCATCACTTTATTGTCCATTCTGCCCTTTGATTTCACAGTGATCATGACCCTCTTGTAGAGATCAATATCCAGTTCACATATATCTTCGACCCACCAATCCTTAGGAACAGATTCAGTTTTATCTTTAAAATTCATTCCCTCCTCGACTATTTTATCAGGCACTGATAACTTGCGGTTATATGTGTAGGACCAAGTAATGCTAGCAGGGTCCACAGAGGTTTTAGATGCAATGGAATCTATGCACCTGCCCACAATCTTCAGATTTTCAGACCACGGCAGGAGAGATTTGGTGGTCTGAAGAACAATAATGGAATCCTTCCAGCTACGGAAGATACTGGAGTTCAGAAATACTTCAATTTTAAAAATAAGGTTCCCTCGATCAACATCCTCAGTCATCTCAAGGTACTCAGCGGCACAACGAGCAGCGACAACATTATAAGCATTGAGAGTAACTATCATTCCATAGCAGAATTTGGCACAAATTTCAAAAGCCTTTGCCCCACCAGGAAAATCAACCATATCAATTTCATCAGAGTTCTCTTCGCCGGCATTTGTCACTAGCTTTTGCAAGAGATTGCTCTTTGACAAGAGAGGAAACTGCAGATTTATTTAAAGCAACTCATTGTGAATTATAGAAACAAAACCAAAAATAAAAGGGGCTGTAATTCAAGCTGTGAGAGGGCAATTTGCTGACCAAGTATTAAACCCCTTAAGTTAACTATTTGGTTGATGAAGTCCTTTAATTTCATAAGATAAAATCTCAACTCCCAAGGAATTAGAAATCGGTATAAGAATATAAACTAGGGAGAGATTAATATGAACTAATTCTACCATCAACAGTATTCGGCACGGCCGCTATCAAGTGTAGTGAAGAAATAAGCTAATTAGAAATAGAGATTCATCTGAGAAAAAACATTTTGATCACCCTTCCATGAAAACATGACTTGGTTTTATTTTTTATTGCCTTTCCAATGCTTTCAATGGACAATATGCTTTTAATAGAAATTAATCTATCGCCAACTCACAACCCAACATAAAGTTGCCAACAAGGGATAGTAAAGGAAACAAGAAAAAAAATTAAGTACATGCTTGGACCAGGTTTCTGATTTTGTAATTACTTACAATCTTGAGTATAATTTATGGGCTTGAGGAGGCAGTCACCTATTCAAATTTGTATATTATTGAGATTTAGTAGTTCCGCAATATACCAACACTAGTAAATAAGAAATGAACTTGACAATTCCTCAAGAAGAACCAATATGCTAGTCATTATTCTCTAGGTCTCTAAAAAATTTTAAATGTTCAGGGGTACGTTTATGGACTAGAGCACTATGATCAACTAAATTCGAAATAACCTGCCAAAATTAACTATAAGCAAAGATAATGAAGAGAACATACCTTGTGGAGGTAAAACTTAACTTCTCCAACATTTATGGTGACATCTGTTGCCAGTTCGGATGCCACATACCTGCATAAGCACAACATGCTAAGCTCACAAGAGACAACTCAATGTTGTGCATGTGATGGGCAAACAATAAATGCACTGGCAGAGTAAGATACCACACATACAGGGGAAAAATAATAACCACATATGAGCCATACAACATACAGAGTACAAATGACATTTCAATGTTCAAGGAAATAGGAGGATTATGTAACCAAGGAACGGGCAAATTTGTTCATTTCCGTGGGACTTAAGAAGCCTCGCGGCCTGATGAGAAACCACAACCTTAACATAAGAACCTGAAAAACATTTCCAGAATGTGATAACTAACCCCAACTGCTGCAAGGAATTTCTCAAAATTTAAAGGAAGTTCAGCACACAAACTTGTGCCTGCATAATCCATAAAACCAATTGATCGCTAGGTCTCCACGCTTTTTGGTCCAAAGAAAATAATATGACGAAGATTAGTCTCCAAATAACTAACTAAATTTGTTTCAGTTGCAGTGCTGCAAAACATCCACAAAGAGAATTACAGAATTTCTGTATATAAGACATGGTTTTCTTAATTTCATATTGTCTACAATCTTGTCCTCTTGCTCCTCAAAACCCCAATCACAGGATCCTTCATGCTCAGTGGCTAAAACACCCACAGGATAGTTACCTAGTGCTCTTATGCTTTCGTCATGTTCCAGGAAACAAACAACTTGTAGCTCATATCTTATTATGCAGCTAGAGAAATACTGCACATGTAATGATGCCTATTGATTAACACAAATGTCCAAAACCATCCATCCTTTTTTCTTTTTCATTACTCTGAGTAACATGAGAAAGAAAGTGAACAACATAATTTAAGTGAAACTACATCAGCTTGGCCTAAAAAATAAATATATGGTCCCTACTCTGGATTTGTTTTCAAGATACAAAATGTAAATGATACCATGGTAGGTTCAGGACAAATGCTACTGTATTGTTTACAGAAAGAAATAGCTCAACTGTGATGATTAAAGTTCTTGCATACACTGCATGACTTTCCTACATCTGGACCACCAATTCATCACAAAAGGGCCAGTTCAATTTCAGGACCACCCCTCAAATACTTCGCCTCCCCCTTTTCTCTGCCCCTCAACTAGTATTACCAATAGCAGTAATGATAGCAACAACAACACAAACAACAAATAACATGTAACCCCCCAAAAACACTAGTAGAAGAACTGAAGAAGGCCAGACACCCATGAGACCAACTTCACATCAAGCAGATAAAAAAAAAAAAGGAAGAAAAAGTGGAAACTTTTTTTATTCGTTATATTAAAATCAAAATATACTCAAAACCTCAACAAACATGTGTGCTTGATCTTGTAGATTTGGACATATTAAAAGGCTAAAATCTCCATCTAGCATTATTTAACCATTATGGTTAACAACAGAATCAGTAGTGCTTTTTAGTTAAAATTTCCAAATGCATGTCTCAAATGCAATACAAGAAGGTACACAAAGTTTCAACAAAGAACACTGCAAAACCAACGATTAGAACTAAATTTACAACCAAAAAAAAAAAAAAAGTCTTACCAAAACCAAGACAAAGTGAAGGAAAACAAAAACAGAGCAAGCAATAAAAAAACAGGAAAGCTTGACTTGAGCTTGAATAATATAGAAGAATAAAAACCAAACCCTCTTACCTTACAGATTTGCCATCAGCTTGAAATGCATCAGGCTTGGACCCCAACTTCATAAACTTCATTTTTACCCCAAAAATACCTTCCAAATCACCAAAACAAGACTAAAAACAGACGAAAACCTTCACTCAAAAGCTCAACAAGCCTTCATTCTATCTCCTCCCTTCACTTCAAAGATGGCAAAGTTCGAGACTTTTTCACTTCTTATGAATCACCAAAACCAAAACCAGGGAGAAACAGAGACAAGAAACAAACAAGCAATCTCTTAAACCCAGAACCAGAAATGGCGGGTTCTTTAAGGAATGAATGAATGGATAAATTTTCTCTCTCTCCTAAAACACTCTACCAGCAGACCAGACCATAATATACATTGGATTGAGACAGACAACCTCTGCCTTTAAGAACCAGACACCACCTCGAATTTCGAGCTGTCCCATTGATTTCTAATGACCCTTCAACAGTACTAACTCTCTCACAGCACGAAACCAAAAAAATGATGTGGGGTTTGTTGCAAAAACAACAAAGAGAAGCAAAAGGAGTAAAATAGTTATGGGTTTGAACAATTACAGAGAAATAATGATTAAGAAACAAGAAAAACCAGAAGTTGGGCTTCAAAGAGAGAGAAAAACTATTTCTTTTTATAAAGAAAAATGGCGTCAGAAAGAGAGAGAAAGCTTCTATGGCTATGGGATTAGCAAGGAAAAGAAGAGAAATAAAAAGAGTTCAGTGTAGTATTGCTTGCTTGCTTTCCTATCATATCAATATCAATATCAATATCAATATCAATAAATTCTTCGCCGCCTCTGCTTTAAATCACACACACTCTCTGATCTGGTTCAAAGATCTTCCTCTCTCTCTCTCTCTCTCACTCTATGGACGCAAATCTCAAGGACATGATCCCCTCTCTCTCTCTCTCTCTCTCTCTATCTCTGAGGGAAGTGCAGTGAGTATTTTTATTGCTTTCTTTTAACTCTCTAATGGAGCGTAATCAATCTTGGTTCAGGTTATCTGACGTAATTGTCTCCTCTTCTCTCTTCTCTTGTTGAGAAAGCATTATTATAGTATTGGTTCTGTACTGCTTTCTTTTTCTCTACCTGAATTTAGCTTCTTTTAAATCTTAAAAAAACGAAGCAAGCATGTATGTGTCTTCTTGACACTTTTTGTGTTGTGTCTCATTGCATTTTTTCCTCGTAATCCTTCCATATTTTTTACTTTTTTTCCTATTTTTTAAAATAAAATAAAAAATATTAAAATGCAAGTAAATTTTTAGAAAAAAATTAATTAATTAGTTTTTCAAAATGAAAGAACTGTTTAATTCATTTTTTAAAAAAAATATAGAGACTGATTTACAAATTACTCTAGATTTAAGCCATAAGAAAAGAAATTTCTTTACTAATTAATCCTCGAATTATATAAATAAAATTTCAAATTGTTCTCTTTTGTTAAGAATTGTAAAAAAAAAAAAATTATAGAAAACACAAAAATTCCTCCGAAATGCTACTCCATCTTTTTTACTGAAATAAAAATATGAAATTTTTAGACAGGATTTATTAAAACATAACATGGATAGAAGAGTATCATAGAATCAAAGAGCTTGTAGTCCGATAATAGTGATCTTTTACGAGAGATTTTATAGGTTCAAATTCTAACAGAATAATACCGTTAAAAGTCTTGAATGTTTGTGTTTAAAAAAAATGTATCATAGAGAATTATGAAAACATTGAGGACTTAATTGACAAAATATTAATACTTTATTATGGCAGAGTGTGAGAGACAGGGTGGATCCCTGAGAGGGATGTGACCTTTTCGAGGGAGAGCTTTTTATAGCGTTAAAGCACGCCACCTTTTCATTTCCACTTTTGCCCTTGAAGTTGTTCCAATTCCCATTGCTTTGCCATTTTGTTATTTTCCTCTTTGTTTCCTAGCTTTTTGTCTTTTGACTTTCTTTAACGTGGGGGGAATTTTATTAGTGATTGCATGCTTTTGGAGCAGCAAAAACAAACTCATTTGGCCCACTATTTACTACATGTTTTTTATTTCCTTGTGCTAATGTCTCTTTCTCTCTTTTTTCTACAGATTTTTTTGCCTCCCAAATTTGGAGTTATTTGTTCTTACCTTCTTAACCCCATTTGTTCAATATGTAAAAACATATAATAAATTCAATTTTTAATCTATTTTTACATTTTTAATAGAATTTATCGTATCCGTAAATAACGTCTAATTGTCCAATTGGACATTTTGACTTGTTTTTTTTTTTTATCAAAAACTCACTTGTAGATCTCGTTCTCAAAATTTGTTTTTGAAATACAAATATCGTAATATGTTTTTATATTTTTAATTATATTTATTATGTTTTTTATAATATTTAATTTTTTAATATGTTATTTAGTCGAGTTTTTTTAATCTAAATTTGTGTGATTATATTTTTTATTTTAAAATCATCCTTCAACCATTTAAGGATATATTAAAAAAAAAATCTCAAAATTACTCAAACACCTATTGTCTACATTCGCAAGACTTGCATTGTTTAGTCATTACATGTCGATAAGATTTTTGCGATCGTAAATTAAGAAGGAGAACCAGATATTTAGGATCGAGAGATGAATTAGAAACAAGTTAGAGTTTGGGGTGCAAAACATGTTAAATTAAATCAATATAATTAAAATTATTCAAATTTTTAAAATTAAAATGTAAAATATTTCAAAACTTGAAGGTGTCGACGTGTCGTGGCCTCTACGAACCAACGTAGTTCCCGCCATACTCATGTCTCGACTAAATTCAAATATAATACACTTAATAATATCATAATAATTACGGATTATGGATTAAAAATAACATTGATTTTCAATGAATACTTTTATCTTTTTTATTTTTTATTTTTGGGCAGTGTTAGAAACTAAAGTGAGTAAGCTTTCTAAATGCATTAAATTTGCACAAAATGATCAATCATCTACAATTATACTTTTATCGTATCTCTCTTTTTTTTTTTTTTTTTTTGGCACTTTCGACGACAATGATTTTATTTTTGTTTCTCCAATTGGTCGGTTGGTGGTTTTGCATTGGTGATTCTATGCCATGAAGGCCATTTCCAAGAACATGGCCAAGAGATCAAAATGGGGTCAAGAAGAAGGACAAGTGAAAATCAGATGAATGGGATGCTTGATCTTGATTACTTCCCACCAAATTGATTTGCCTTCAAATCTGATTTAAGCTGGCAAAACTAGCCGTGTGAAAGAAGGGAAAAAAGCAACCACCTTTTTTTAATTATTGCTTTTTTATTATTATTATTGTTGCAAAATCAAAAGACAAAAATCAGACAGCCTCCAACCTTGTTAACCCATCATTACCCTTTCACATTAACTAGGATTTAAGGAATTTGGAAAAGGAAAAAACGTGTTATCACACACATTTTTACAATTATTATTATTTGAAGTCACATGCAGATTGCAGTTGAGATCTATGGCATAATGACTCGTTTGGTTTATAATGCTTAATGATTTCCTAGCATAATTAGAAAGAAGATGGGATCCTAAGGTGGGGCATTGAATTTAGTACTATGTTTTATTTACAAATTAACAATCAATCTTGTTCAAATCTTTCAAAATTATACTACAAGAAGGTCATAAAATCAACAAAAAAAAAAAAAAACACAATATTGTCTTCGTCATCGTGTTACCAAGTCTCAACTTCATTAAAAGTAAAAATATTTTCAATCGAGCTTGTAATATTTCATATGTTTCTCAATTGGTTTTGTATGTCGATCACTTGTTAGTGATATTTTCGATTTAACATCATCTTTATGCAATAAAATAAAACCTTAGAAAATTAGATGAAAAATATTGATCCACATGAATAAAGGATCCAACTAGGAAAATATTTATGATACTAAAAACCCAATTGATAAATTTCTTTAATTCTCATATGAAATTGAGAATTAGACATTTAGGGTTGGATTTGAGGTTTTGCCCAAAAACAACAAATTAAGTAATGCTTGAGTTCTCACTATCCATCAAATAGCTAGTCACAGTTATTACTTAGCAATATTGGGTTTGGGTTCGTTTGGTTTAAAAGGAAATTCGGTGATCGATCAAAAGTTAAAACACTAACTTAGTCCAAAAAGTGATGAATTTATTATACACATTGATGAAAAAATTAGACCGAAGATATTTCATTACCTATAAATATAATAATAATAGAAAAAAATAACGTTCAAGTTTTTTTTTATAACATCCGAATAGGCAGGAATCAACGTTGCTTTTGCCAAAACAAAGAATGGAGTTGCAAGATGTTTGTTTTTTTCCCTGTTCTGGTCCTCTTTAGTTCTTTTGGATGAAGAAATATTCTCCATTGTCAGCTTTTTTCTTGCAAGGTTGACATGCTCATGATATATTCTCATGGTGATGTAACCTTATCTCTTCTTCCCTTAGGGTTAGCATATTCCTATTCCCTCCACGCTAGATTTTTCCATCTTGTAGATAGTGTCGTGTCATGTCATATGCCCATATGAGATGGTTTTCTTAGTGGGTATCCTTATGCACACTTCTTGTACTGCTCCTCTCCTAGGTCAGGCCGAGGACCACAACCATATCTAGAAGATCCACTTTCCAACATCGAGGACCATGTTTGTTTCCCTTTGGACTTAGAAGACAAAAGTTATATAATACTTTTATTCTTTATAATTAGGGTAAATCGATAAATCTATTCTTATATAATTAGATAATTTTTAAAATATATTTTTATATTTCTAATTGCATCTATTATGTTTTTATATAATACATAATTTTATAATAATTTGACGTCCACTTGCCTCATATTACATCGAACTAGTAGTTCTTATCAATCTATGTTATTTTTTGTAATATACCTGATAAATATGTCATTCAATCAAGTTTTTTTTTCACTCAAATTAATAAATTATGTTTTTTTTTTAAATTCTAAAACTGCCCTTCATTTATACAAGAATATAACAAAAAAAAATTCTCTAAGTTGCTCAAAATATTTTAAGAAATAAAAAATGTTAAAAACAGTTATATAATACTTTTATTCTTTTTAATTAGGGTAAATCGCTAAATCTATTCTTAGATAATTAGATAATTTTTAAAATATGTTTCTATATTTTTAATTATATCTATTAAGTTTTTATATAATACGTAATTTTCTAATAATTTGACGTCCACCCATCTCATATTACATTAGAATGGTATTTCTGACCTATCTATGTCATTCTTTGTAATGTACCTGACAAATATGTCATTCAATCAAGTTTTTTTTTTTTCACTCAAATTGATAAATTATGTTTTTTTAATTTTAAAACTGCCCTTCAGTTATATAAAAATATAACAAAAAAATTCTCTAAATTGCTCAAAATATCTTAAGAAATAAAAAATTTTAAAATTACTCAGCCATTAATCCTTTATAAGAAATACAGATTTTAATT